ATGCTTCAGGAGGTAGTTTCCTGGCCATACCAATACATATGCCCACATACAAATAACTCAAAAGTTATCCCCATATACTAATAAAGAAGGGTCTTGCAGTCCACCAACCTTGAGAGGTTGATTGCCTTTAGTATAATATGCAGGTTTGCTAAAGGTCGACAGTGAGATTGAAAATTATTGGAGTGTAAAAACCTTATATCATGGTCTGTGGGCAATAGACATAATTTCTCGGGTTAGGTACAAATCGCTTATGGCATTTGTGAATATGGTAGATCCTGTACTAAAGACTACAGCAATAAACTGCATCAACAACTGTACCAGCCGTCACAGAATATTGTTGTTGCAGACAAACACACTGTCAAATCAAGAAATAGTTTGGGGGTTAGGCAGTTCATGAAAGCTAGATGACCTACTATGTGGGGAATAAATCTGTGGGTTGCTGCAGACAATCCTAATGGTTATATTGCGACTTTGAAATTTATACAGGAAGAAGTCCAGATATTCATCGCAACACATTTGGGTATGACGTGGTGATCTGATATCAGTTTGGTTACAGTCTTAGGTCTTTTGTAGTACAATATAAAGGAAATATTTTCACCACATAATCCAATTATGTGCTTTGGCAAACATTACTGCCTTGGAAAACATTACTGTTTTATAACTACTAATTATGATGATGCCAGCCCAACAACACTTGGTCATGCTATTTGCAAATATTTTCATGTTCTAGATTGTGAAAACAATCAATTTCTAAACAAATGAGTAGTGATTATTTCAAATTTGAATAGCATGACCCAATTTTGAGGCTGGTTATGCCACTAATAACTAAAGTCAATGGTGTAATGATTATCTAAGAATGTATGTAGTAATTGTAGAAATAAAGACATTTTGCTAATCATGATTTGAGTGTTCTTTTGTGGGTATCACAGACTTATTTTGGTGCCATACTATCTTTGGAGAGTAAGAAATATTGGAAATTTGTATTGATAACATGTTGCAGCAATAAAAAGGACCTTTGATAAAGGTATTTGTTTCATGTGAGCACAAAATGTAAATTTTACTCCACTACCTAGTTTATATAAAAATTCAATAAAAATATTTCTATTTATGCTACATGCATGAAACTTCGGGTAGTTGTAGATCATAACCGTGTCTTTCAGTCATACTCATAAAATTTTTTGACATATTTGAAATTTGAACCGCTAAATACATTTATGCATAATTGCAACATTTTTTTATATCATAATTTATGCAAATTTATGCGAGTAAATCGTTAACCAAGCTCCGGATGAAATTGAAATTGGTATTGTTGGAAAGCGGAAGGCCTCCTCTTTCGAACGATGCAATTTCTGTTTCCGTGCGATGTATAATTTGAGAGATATAAGCGTTTGAAACAACACCGCTCGAAATTGGTACTTTTCGACCGGATGAGAATGAGTTTTAACTCTCATTTCACGGAGCATTTTTATCTAGTCAACAATCGCGCCTCACGACTGTAGAACAAATCACATTTCACGACACTAAAATCAAGCATTTCACATTTCACGCCAACAAATATTGACCATTCACGGCTCACGAAAATACCCTCTTTTAAGTCATTAAAAATGGCCAAAAATGTAAGGGGTTTCCCTTCAATTTTTGTCCGGAATTTGAAGAAGTGGTTAAAATGGACAAAAATAAAGACTAACCTTTTTTTCGAAAAAACGTGAAGGCTAAGAACTGACCCCTTGAGCTTTTCACCATTTTGGTTGGTTTTTAAAAATTCAGAAAGTGGCGAAAAAAGGAGAAAAAGTCGAGGGGTTGGCCTTGACTTTCTAACCGCCACTTTTTAAAAGGGTAAAGTCTTTAAAAAATGACCAAAAAGTAAAGGGTAACCGTTTATTATTCTTTTCTAGAACAAAAATCAACGCTAACCGAAGAAGCTAGTGTCCAAAGAAGCTAGTGTCCAAAAATGCGCAATAAATGAACTAAGGCGTTACCCCTTAACATTTGTCGAATTTTGGCGATTTTCTGAAAAGTGAAAGTGGTCAAGATAGCCAAAAAATAAAGGCCAACCCCTGAACTAGATATTTTTTTGAAAAAAGGTCAAGGCTAACACGTTTACTTTTCACCATTTTTGGTCACATTTTAAAAAAATGAAAAAGGCTAAAAATGGACGCAAGCTTTTGGGGTTGCCTGTACTTTTTGGAAGAGATTATTTCTCTGGCCGGTTTTACTAATAGTAACCCTACTCCAAACACCAACTCTAACCCTAATCCTTACCCTAACCCTACTACAAATTTGTTTCTAAACCAATCTTGAAGAAAAATTTTTTGACGAAATGTCATTCTGAGGTCAGCGAAATAGTTGATGTAGTACAGTACTTTTTCCCACTTTTGAATTTTTTGTAAAATAGGCCAAATTTGGGCAAGAAGTATAGGTTAATCCCATGACATTTTCGAAAATTGGCCTAAATTTAAAATGGCTAGAAATTAAAGGTTTACCCTACCAAGCTTTGGCTATTTTTGGGCAGTTTTTGAATTTTTGAAAGTGGTCGAAAATGGCCAAAAGGTAAGGCTAAATCCTAAACCTTTTGGCTATTTTTGGGCACCTTTTGAATTTCGTGGCCAAAATTGGGAACAAATAAAGGCTTACCTTTAACACGTATTGGGGACAAAAAGAAATATATATAAAATTATTGTAGAAAACACACAATGAACATAGAAAATATATAAATTGTTTATTTGATTCAATTTTGGTGTAACAAGCCACCAATTTTAAGCATGCATCAGAATTACACACAAGACAAACAGAAACAACACGAAAATTTAACCTACTTATTAACCATTGAGGGTCAACCAGTGTAAATCCTAGAGTATTTTTCCATACTAAATGATAATATAAAGACAATACTATAAATTAAGAAAAAAATAAAACCTAACTATGGCAGAAAATTCCCAAATATATGCAGACTCTTTAGAATATTATTCTTGTGTTGAAAACCAAGCCCAACATTGATCACATTTCATCGGTGATTAATTCTTTCTATGGACAGGAATGTTACATTATTCATCGGCTGCTGGAGCGTCAGCGTCTTGGCCAGCGTCCTGAGAGCCTTCGCGAAGTCGACTTGAACGGCTTGGCGGTGTGTCATAGCCACTTCTACCACCTCCACCACCACCACGAGCCCTTTAGAACAATAATGAATCAAATTGAGCTCAGAGGTAAAAAGCTGACACTTGCTTGCATTAAAGGGCCATGGCAACATATTTTTTTATTATTTCATCTGGAGAACTTTTAAAATTATATGTGAATCTCCTTTACCGATTTTGCGTATAGCTTTATTATTTCTTGAGATATTTTGACATACTGGTAATTTAGATGTAGTTTTATATGGCTAACCCTGCTTTTGACGTCACTAAAATCACTGATGAGATAAAAATGTATCCAAGATGGCGGATAGCTAATTATTTTAAGTGAAAATATTTCAAAAACTATAGATGCAAATAAGCGGTAAAGGAGATTTTGCACATAATTTTAAAAGTTCTTTCAATTTCAAAAGTTCTTATATATATTGCCTTATCCCTTTAAAGCAGTGTGAATCTACATTTAAATAGACAGTTATTTGGATAAGGTTTGATATAGAGTGATATCAAAAGAGCCGAAGGCTACACTGAGAACTTGATAATTTGGATAACCGAATTCAAAACCGTTTTTGTTATACATTTTCATCAACTTTTTTGACAAACAACGATTTGTCGAACAAAAGCTGTGAAAATGATTTAAAATATCACACTAACAACATAAAAATATTCGAAATCGTATTTATCTATACTAAAGTTTCGATAAAAATGTCAAAAAGGTCTGCTTTTTGCACAAAACATTCACGAAAACGCCGTTCTTAAATGTTGTTTTCGTTTCAAACTGCCGCTTGCTATAAAATTACATACTATACGGGCTCAACCTACACGTAACTCAGTTATCTGCTAGCAGATAACTGAGTTATATATGCAATGTAGGTTGCGTGATTTCCATATTTAGCTGTGAGCTATTGGCCAATCAGAAGCACACAGTGACAACAATGTATAATAATGGCATTCCTAGTTACTATATTGTTCTAGTTTACAGAAGCATAAATAGAAAAAAGATAACAAAGATAATTTAGATAATCCTAAAGCTTAGTTACTTTTGTTCTATTCTATGTTTCTGTAAACTACAACAATAGTAACAAGGCATGCGAGTTATCTGAAGTTGTAAACAACATTCGCCAAATTTGTCTGTACACGATCCAGTACGACTATGTGTACAAATAGATCCCCAAGGGTCTCCCTTCGGTCTGTCAAGATATGATCGATGGTCTGTCAAGATATGATCGATCGGTCTGTCAAGATATGATCGATGGTCTGTCAAGATATGATCGATGGTCTGTCAAAAGTCAGGCAAACTTCAAAGCCACAAAATACAAGGCCTTTGATTGGTGTTGAACTGTACCTCACCGTGCACAAATCCTTTGCCTCAACTGCATTAAATATTATTCATCCTGGTTGCACGTTTCATCCCAGCTATCCCTTTTGAAGCCCAATCACCGGTGACCGTACATAAATTCACATTCAGACAAAAACATAACACAATGACTTATGCGCAGCTTCCAGAGCATCATATCTTGATATATGCCGCAATGGACCCACATAATGCAACAGACTCTTCCACTAAAGACTTGAACGTCACACTTACCTTAAGCGGCTCTTGAGTGTAGTAATTTCCCGTTGTAATTGTTCCTGCTGTTCATTCTGATCATCAAGTTCACGTTGTACTCGTCGTTTAGACGCATTGGCTTGTTGCAATTCTTCCTCAGTGTCGTCCAACTGTCGTTTGGTCTGTCGGAGTTTCTGACTTGTCTTGTCATACTAAGAGATATGGTTAATGTAAGAATGAGACATGTAACATAAGTACAATCAATGTACTTTGCTGCATCATAATGGCGTAATGTACGGTAATAATTCTTCATATAATGCTCAACCTCATTCAATAATTAAATATATTGTATTGCAACACCTTTTCTCCCGTTTTACAATTTTGACGTCATAGGGCCCACCTGGAAAAGTTTTTGTCCGGGCCCCGGCCATGTTCTCAGGAAGTTCCAGCACAAACTACGGCTGCCTTTAAATAATGTGAGCTTTAATATACCTGTTCTTTATACTGATCTGCATGTCTTCTTTCTTCTTCAAATTGCAGTGAGACTTCCCTGACTTTCTTGTCGGACTTTCTCAATGCCTTGGCCAAGCCCGCGCGATCACTACATGGACAAAACGCGAGACATTACAGTAAACTATCGTTTAAAATGCCGATTTTCATTGCTAGGCATATCAACTGAGCTAAGTCAACTGAGCAACAGAGAATAAGAGTGCATGAGAGTTGGCAGTCACGAATCCTTACAGGGGACATTTCAAGCTCTAGATTAACAAAATAAAGGATTGATGAGTGTTTCCTGCAACTACGTTTCAACTTAAATACCGGTAGAATACGTGATAGTGTTGGGAAAACATGATTTAAGAACAGCTAATGAAGGTCACGTGACTATCAACTCTCCTGCATACTCATCCTCTCATCCTGATCCGAGCTTTAGAGATAACCGAGTAAGGCTGTCGCCACAAACAATGTTTATAAAGACTTACGATGTCTCGACATTCAGTTGTTCCTCCAGTGTAGCGACCTTTGTTTCCAAGTTGCTAATAACTCCTCGCGTCTTTGATCTTAGTTCGGTTTCTAATTCTTGAAGTTTCGTCTTAAGTTCTTTGTTCTAAAATTTAATTTGAATATGTCAGTCAGTCGTCACTCTGTCCGTCCAACGGTCGTTTGCTTGGTATGTCCGTCGGTCACAACTGGTCGCTCAGTCAGTTCATCCGCCGATGGTTAGTCACTTAGTCGGTCTGTCAGTCGTCCGTCCGCTATCGGTCAGTCGGTTGGCCAGTCGGTCCATCCGTCCGTTGTCGGTCGGTCAAACAGCCAGTCGGTTGGTCATTCGGTCGGTAGATTGGTCGATCAAGCCGTCCATCAGTCCATAGTTGGTCGGTCGGACCATCAGCCTGTCGGTCATTCTGTCGAGAGCCTTATGTCGGTCGTTATTCCGTCCATCAGTCACTGTCGGTCCGTCAGTCAGTTCGTCCGCCATCGAATGGTCGGTCGGCAAGCAGGAATCCCGTCCATCCATCGTTGAACGGTTGGTCGACGGGGCGGGCGGACACTCACACTCAGTCGGTCAATCGATCATCAACTTATTCAACTATAAAGGAATTACGGCAAAGAGGACGACGACAACATTTTAAGTACTTTATATTACCTGTCGTTCCAAGGATGTACGTTGATTCTCAATCCTCTGAGCGTTGGATCGTTCAGTATTCAGCTCGTTGTGAGATTGGTCAGCCTAGAAAGAAAATCATAAAACAATTCTTATTATACAACACCTCATTAAATTCTGATCATTTAATTTCAGCGTGTAATGTAACGCGTTCCATTGCACGCTCAGCCGCACGGTCTAGTTTTCATTAAATTCCATCCATCAAAACCTTAATCGTATCCTAATCGTAGCTCACCTAACCCAAATTTTCATAATGAGGCAAATATAATTAAATTCAAATGGCGGGTGTAAAAATCACTAAAACTTTTATCTTTACGACAATGTTGAGTGAGTATAACAATTTCGTTTGGGTCCACTTAAAGGATTAGTGTCAGGGTCATGCATTGCGGGCTTTTGTTATTGTTTACATTTTACTCAAATACAACAAATAGCGAAAAAATACCTTGTTTGGTACATTTCTGATAAAAATCAGACAAAAAGAGCAAGGATTATAAAAGGATGGTTCAAATATATGACGGATTGTAAACACTTTCCAGATCATCTAATCTATTCGTCCCGAAAAATGGCCGCCAGCAGGAGTTTGAGCCCGCGAATTCCTGGTGTGACACTAATCCTTTAAGTGTGCACTTGCTCGGACATTGGCTGGTAATATTTACATTGATTGGTAGCGCTCATCACTGCTCGCATGACCAATCATACATAACTTTTACTCTTTTAGCAAGCAGTCCAAACGAACAAGCGAAGATCCCAATTGTTTTCGAATTTTCTGCATTTGTTGCCGGTCACCGCGAAGCCAAGAATATGTTTCGCTTTTTTTTTTCTTGCATGCTTTTGGAACAGTATATTCAGTTTAAATGAAAACTGCATGCTTTATCTGATCGGTAAACATGTCCGTACAGAATAAAGTTAATCGGCCACTTATTGTTTTGTTCGGCAAATAACCGATCGTTATATTCATAGAGTCCAGATGAAAACATAACCTCCTGGCGGAGAGGTAATAAATAATAAAAGAATAAAAGCAAAAGTTTACCGCGAGTTGTGAACGTTTGGCTTTCTCTTCCAGCATTTCATTCTGTGCTCTTTCCTCTTCGAGTTCTTCTTCGAGTTCAGAAATTCTGCTGTCGAGACGTCGTTTTTCATCAGAAAGGGCGGATCTGAAATGCAATATATAATTTCAACCTATAGTATAAAGATTGCGAAACTTAGAAAGAATTATACATTACATGGAATATATATAGCTCTATCAGTTCTAAACTATTTCATGCCTTGACCATCTCTTATTAGTGTACACTCAACCAGAGTCTATTACTATAAATCCGGCATTTTCATTGGCTACTCAAATAAACATTTCGAAGACGTCATGTTTATAAATGTCGTCCCATCACATATTAGGCGCATGGATAAACACAGTCCTAATTACTGTGGCACCAACATCACGTCAGCGACTTACCTTGAAGTTGAACCACTGGTTAATTCCTCCATCAATTCATCTCTTTCATTTTCAACATTCTTGCGTGCCCGTTCAGCAGCCGCCAGATCCTGAACACAAATTTAGACGCGGTGAGAAAATATCCAAAATCATACGAGAAACGGGAAACTCTATTTATAGACTGAAAAATATCTGAAAGCTAAAGAATCATCCATCTGAAAACGAGGACTTTTCGACTGGTAAACGATCACTGATGTAATACAAGGGAGAGAAAAAAAACTAATGCGTACCCTCCCATCTCAGTCTATTAACCGTGACGTAACCAACTTTAACAACTCTTTATTAGTTTCTCGTCTTTGCAAGATTCCAGTGTGTTAGGACGGCATAACCGTAACAGGATTAATAATAGACGAGTTTCCTTTCTTTAATTAAAGGGAAATGGCACTACAAATTAAGTTCGTCTCGTTTGAAAGAATTTGTAAAAATAATATATGAAGACCTTTAGAGACAACTGGGATTTTGATGATCAATGATGCCTGTTAGAAGTGGTTGGCTGTATTTCAATGAGAGGAGTTTTTTAATACGTTTCTAATAAGGTTGTTATTTATTGCACAAACTTCGGACAAACAAACTGAAATCGACTTCCATACGAATGTAAATGAATGCAATTCAATTTTATGCTATTCAGGTAGTATTTTCTATAACTCAGATACCATTCAACAAGTAACAATTGTTAAAAAATTCCGCCCTACATTGTAAAATTTCTCCCTCTTGCCCAAAAAACACAATAGGGAACCACCTTAGGAGGCTAACAAGACAGCGACGTACCTCCTGCATTTGTAAGAATTCAGTTTCAAGATTCTTCAATTTCTTCTCATTCTCACGCGCGTGTTCAGAAATCTGGTCTCTTGACGATGTCGCGTCATCCAAATCTCTCTGAATATCCTTAACTTGTTGTTGATATTTTTTGAGCTGTCTGATGCCGTCTTCTTTCACTTTACTGGCAGCTTCTAATTGCTCTTCCATGTCCTTAATGTCCAGTTCTAGTTTCTTCTTCGTATTTTGTGCACTTGCTCGCGCCTTTCGCTCTTCCTCTAGCTCTGACTCCATCTCACGAAGCTATAGAAAATAGTCGTGTGGTATAAGTTAGATCACAGTATACAGTGGAACGTCTATTAAGCGAACACATTCGGTACCTCACCAACATGTCCGCCTTAAAAGGGGTGTCCGCTAAATAAGGGCTTGCAACAGCGAACACAACAGGAGGTAACGCTAACTAACTTAGGAACAGCAGTAAGAGGGTGTTAGCTAGCCCATATACTGTCCGTTTGACGGAGTCTTCCCAATTGAAGTAGCCAAGGGGCTTTCCCAACTGGGTGTACTGGAAGATTTTCATTTATTCTGATGAGAAAGTGCATTGCGTTTGATTTTATATTAGTATATCAAAGAACGTTTTATTTACTTTTCCCCATTAACTATTTTCTCAAAATGTATCGCGTTTCATTCATATTGGGTGACTGTGTATATTCACTGAAATGAAATGTACAAAATAAAGTGTAATCGGTGTACATCCGTGCATGTTCATTCACCGGAAATGAAATACACAAAACAAAGTGCCATCGGGTGCATTTTTCAGAGTTCATTCACCGGAAATGAAATGTACAAAACCAAGCTACCGTTGTTTGCATCTAAGGAGAAACACGTTGGGGGAAAAAAAGACTATTTATTCCTGCACAAGGACTTTGATCGGTCAAAAAAACTTTCCCAATTTACGTTGAACGGACAAAACTTTTTTTCTGGCTAACACCCTGAGTAATCAAATGTAAACGTGTCAACGGAGTGGTTAATTAAGGTGTGGAACTTCCCTGCGAGTTCAAGTTTCGAGGACACAGTTTTTCTTGCAATCGGTTGAAGACACAAGTTAAAGAAAGAAAGAAAGAAAGAAAGAAAGAAAAGTTTGTTTTAGGAGATTAGCTAAAGTTATTAGCGTTTATACTATATAGAAATACTGCAAAACATTTAACAAATACATGTCTAGTGAATTTTCTTCAAATTAATTTCCACCATTGATTGTTATGAAAATTTAATTTAGCATATACACATTCAGTTACGTTTGTCCGCTTAAGAGGAGTGTCCGTTAATAGGGTTTCGACTGTAATCATTTTTTTGCCCAAAATGTTTTGGAAAAACCAAGAAAAAATCTATATTACTAAAACTGCGAATCTTTCATTTCGTTGGAAAAAACGTCCTATCAAAACAACCTATTACTTTCCTATCAAAACAACCTATTACTGCTAAAATGCCAAACTATTAATAGCTAGTTTTAGAACAATTTCCCGCAAACCAATTTTTCTAAGGGCGCCTCTGGCAGCCACGTTATATGACTCATGTCTGATCACGGAGCACACTCAGCACCAGTTACGGTGGAAGGGTATGTTAGGGGCTAGGCATAACCCACCCTGTCAACATTCCCTGTGGGAGGAAGTCGGAGTACCCGGAGAAAACCCACGACTTTCGGGAGAGCATCGACTGACTCAGGGCTGCAAATCACTGTCGGACATCGGACAATGTTCGACTAAATTTGGCAAATGTCCGAGCAAAAGTAATTTTGATTGGACATTGGTCCGATCACAAAAAAAAAAATTGTCACATACATTTTTTTGCTGTTGACAAAATCCGATTGCAAATTCACTCAATTCGCATTTGGCAATCAAATTTACGAGGCATTCTAGCATTTTACTTAACGTTGCGCCGGAATGGCTATACATACTTGTCTCGTGACTTATATATATCTTGTGACGTATATATGTCCGACCAAATTTAGTGATGTTGGTTTTTGTCCGACTTAATTCAAGTTAAAGTTAAAGTTAAAAGTGATCGGACAAATGTCCTGTCAAGTCAAATATTTATTTGCAGCCCTGCTGACTCTTTTCACATAACTGTCATGAGCAAGTCCGCAGCGGGAATCGATGATCTCAGAGGTGAAAGGCGCATGCTCTGACGACTCTCTGAAGCCCCCAAGGCAAACAGATATAAAACGTTCCAAAGAGTAACAAGGCACTTTATATGATAACAAATAAGTAATGCACCTGTTTAGTCATTTGTCTTCGCTTGTCCTCACTCATTTCTTCCTTGCCAGCGAGATCTCTATCATGGGACGATTTGAGAGCTTGAAGATTCACTTCAAGACGTAGTCTAGCATCCTCAGACAACTGTAATTCATCTTCTAGTTCTTCGATCGTTGCTTTCATTTCAGTCACTTGAGTGTCCAGTGTTCTCTTGGCTCGCTCCAGGTCATGAACCTACAGAAAAATCACCAAACAGTAAGGCTATGAAGTGAAAAAAATTGTTCACTTTGTGATAAAAGAACCATATTTCGGGAAAGTCTACGTTTTCTCGTGAAAATGAATATTAGCTGTGGAGGCATCTGAAAAATTAACTCTGATGGCTCCAAATTTAGTTTTTCGTATTATTTGCTTATTAAAGTGTGACTAACCGCTAATATGATTTTTTATGTTTAATCTTTGGGTCATTCGAAGAATATATCTTTATAATAAAAAATCCGATCAACTTTTTCACTGTCAAAGTTTCCGGATATGATGTCATTAGGTGAATTGCAAATTAGTTTTCCCTTTTTTTTGTACCAAAACTTCACCTAATGACATCATATCTAGAACTGAAAAAGTTAATCAGGATGAGGTTTTTTACCATAAAGATACATTACATTTCTTCTCAGAATGACCCAAATATTACACATACCAAAATTTATATTTGGGGTTAGTCACACTTTATTAAACTATTTATATCTAAAAAAGTTCGAGTTGGGAAGCCACCTTTATAAATACTCTTCTATACAATACATTGAACTTACATTTTTACCAACATCGTCTTTGCTTTCCATCAAGGCCTCAAGCTCCATCTAAAAGAAACACAAGAACTGTCATTTAAGTATTGGAATAACTGATTTGAAAATCAAATGTCCCTGCTCATATCACACATTAGGTTGTAAAACAAGTTTAAGTCACTGAGCAGAGGCGATGGAAATATTTTAATTACCAGTTGTGTTTTCTTCAGCTTTTCTGTTTCACTCAGCTTGTCTTGGAGTTCTTCCAGCTCATGAGTCAATGAAATAACCTGCAAGGAATAACAACTGTCAGAGTCCACACTAAAGCAACTGATTCCATATGGGATGGATTTCCTGAATGTGTGTGTGTGTGTGTGTGTGTGCAGGGGGTGGGTACCCCTTATCCTTGGGGTGGGGTGCCGATTTCATTAACCATTACCACAACGATTCCCCTGAACCCTTCCAAAGACAATGTTTCGCTCATTCTACAGAACACTGCTGTACGTAGGCTCCAAATGATTATGAGCTTGGTTGATCTGGCTGGGTGCATCCATGCCATATGGTATATTCCTGGGTACACAGTTGGACCCAGTGAACTCTATAAATACTGGAACGATAACTCTAGGTAAAAGGCCGTATGATTGGCTGAAGCCAACAAGGCGTCCAATAGAGTAATAAGACACGCGTGTACTTCGCGTGGGCTGCGCCATCGATGTACATACTGTACGGAGTACCTACTAATTTTTTGGCCCTTTCTAATACGGACATAACAAAGCGGCGTAAAGGCCGTTTTCCACTTGACATTTAGCGTATTTCTTTGTTTCCTGACTGCTAGAGTGGAACAAATGACTTCGACACAAAATAAAATGTTACGATACGATATGGTTGAAGTGGAAAACTGTATTAAAGCGTACTAGAGGTGTGTCCATAAGCAGGTCGATTGAATTAATGCTTTCATTCAAATATGCAATTGTTATTTGTAATACCTTTGTTTCATTCTGTCTGGCCTCTCTTTCAGCAGCATCACGTTCAGCAGAGAGCCTTTCAGCAGCAGCTTTTTCCTCCGCGACCATCTACAACAAACAGAAATGACGACTGTCAAAATCTGTCAACTTTTCAAAACATCGCAGACAAGTGATTAACAAAGCGCATTCATGTATAACCAACCGAATCAAATTTGCGTTGTTTCTTCTCCAATTCCACAACACGTCCTCGATCTTTATCAACTGTCAGATTCAAGTCATCAAGCTAGAAAATACAAACAGCATATGTAACCCTAGCGACAATATATTCATGTACAATAAAAATTTAGCTTGTTTCAGTTCATACAGTAGAAGCTTCAAAATTATATATAAAACTCCTTTGCCAATTTTTCATATATTGCTTAGTTCTTGAAATATTTTGAATGAGAACAATAAGCTGTCCGCCATTTTGGATTAGTTTTTGAACTCAGAACGTTCCGTCTACAGGACCCAAATTTCGAATAACTTAAATTGGCCGACACTAGTAGATTGGCAAATGGAACAAAAATCTTGTCTAATGTTCAAAGTATTCCACAAATTAAGCCCATCTTATCTTTCACGGCCATTTAATCGAGCGAATTTAATTCACAGTCATGGTACACGAGGTCATGACTACAACTTTGTTATTCCTAAACCAAACACCAATTTTTTGAAAAATAGTCTCGAATATAATGGAGCAGTGGTATGGAATGCAATACCAACTGAAATTAGGAATTCCACTTCACTCAAAAATAAACTGTAGTATAAAATAATTTGTATATAGCTTTAATTTCTCCTTCTCTTGTAAATATTGTAAATAATTCATATGTCAAGGTGCCTGGGAAGATCATCTCAATTTGGATGACTGGCCTCCGTGCTTAAGGATATGGCAATATAAAATTAAGTTTGTCTTATTTGAAAGAACATTTAAAATTATATATAAACTTCCTTTACAATTATTCCGTATCTTGCTTGGTTTTCGAAATAAATCGACTTATTTTGATCAAAAGCAGCGTGCATTCCACCATCTTGGATATGAATTCGATATGCATACGTCACAAGTTGGGTAAAAAGCGAAATTTTTATCTTGCAAACCACATGTCATTATCAATACGAAACTCGATTTTCCGAAGTCTTTTTAGTATTCAATTAACTCAAAACATTTTAAGAAACTTTTCGAAGAAATTTAGTCCCACATGAAGAAGTTTTAACAGATTTACCCTGCTTGATACAAAAAGTTGTAAAGGGTCTTCAAATATATAACTTTAAAAGTTCTTTCAAATAAGACAAAAGGGCCATTTATACGGAATAAAATAAGTCGCGACTTACATAAGACGCGACTTATATAAGCGGAATTATCGTATAAATGGTTCTTTACGGCTCTAGTCTTATTTACTTGTTATAGCTATAATGTTGTTTTGGTTGTTTTTATTTTAATATGCAAGGCTAATAATTTTACGTTGTTTCAAGTTTCGGGCATGCATGTGTAGTTAGACTTTTTATCCAAAATGATTTATTTAAGACGCGACTTAAATAAGAACAGCTAAAAATCCTGTTCTTATTTAAGTCGCGTTTTATCCAAGACGCGTCTTACATAAGAATTTTGTACCTTTTATACGACAAACTTGCGTCTTATTTAAGTCGCGTCTTATCATAAGGCGCGACTTATTTTGTCTCGTATAAATGCCTCTAAAGTTAACTTTTATTGCCGGTATCCCTTTAAATAAAGTTCACTCTCACTCAGCCTTCTACAATTGTTTACAACACGACATTGTTTACCTCTTCCTGTAATCGTTTCTTGGATTTCTCCAGTTTACTGTTGCTCGCACGAAGTTCATCCATCGCAGTCTGAAGAGCTTCAAGTTCTTTACTTGATTTCTTCTTGCTAAGATGTAGCTCCTCTATCTCTTCGTCTTTATTTTTCAGGTTGATTTGGATAGATGATATCTAGATTAAATAAATACTGTTTATAATACTTTCTTTCATTGTGTTATTTAACTGTTGCACAGGGAATACCAAATCAACGAAAAGACAATGAAATATTCAGATCGCTGCATAGGCCAGTAGAATGTTCGGAGGCATTGAGAACGGTGTGATTTTCAAAACAATGAAAAGAAATGCTATATTCCGATCACTGGATCATGAGTCTGACTGGATGGCAAGGAGAACAGTAGGATTTTACGAACAATGAAAAGACATTGAACTGGATCGTGACTGGATGGCATGGAGAACAGTGGGGTTTTCAAAGCAATGAAAAGACAGTGGAACATTCTGATTATTGGATCGCGACTGGATTGACCATATCATCATTATACATTACTGCAGAATACAAAACCTATATATAAAATTATCAAAATATTTCCATACCGATGATTGTAGTTCTCCGTTCTTCTGTTGCAGTATGTGGATTTCTTCAGTAGCGCCATTTAATTCCATTTCGGCATTCTCTACGCTAGCCTCAGCATCACGGAGTTTTGTGCTGAGAGTTAATTTCTGTCGGGTTTCATCTGCGATTGATTCCTGAAATAATGACAAGCCTGATTGAACCTATATTACTAAATTTTTACTTATCAGGGATTTTGCTTTTGTCTAAAAACCAAGAACTAGGTACAACTACCATGCCATGAAGAAGAAATCTTTCCTGGAAATTTCTTTGCTCATTTTAATCTGCGTTTATTCTATTGATGCTAATTCTTAATAACAGATATCCCCTTTGACAAGAACTTAAAGTATACAGGGTTCGTTACATATCAGAAAGACTCAAATTCAAGGAATTTTCAAGGACATCCAAAACCATGTTTCAGCAAATTCAAGCACTAAATACTGAAGGCGTTAGAAATCAGCACAATGTCACGTTGAATTGTCCAAAACACAATTTTAATGAATTTCAAACAGCTTTGTCAGATATGAAGATGCAAAATCAATTCAACAAAATGTCCGTTTTTGAATGACAAACAATTTCAGAAAATATCCATAAACTAAAGGAAGAATGCAAGGAATTTCAAGTACTTCCTTACAAATTCAAGGATATTCAAGGCCTTGAATTTTTGTTTTCAAATTCAAGGATCAGGGGTGGAAAAATTTGCCCTGCGTCGAATTTGCAATGTTACAATTACAAAAATAACGAAACAAATGCATAATGATTGTATTATTTGTACTTTAGTAATAATAGGCTTCAGGCTGGTTTTCGTATGCTCGTACATCGCAATAGTTGCCTGTTATATACCACAGTTATGAGTTATGACCAACTAGTGAGGATTTAACGCTTAACTAAGTGTCCTATAATCTTATTTATTCCATCACTTTTATTTGTTTACCATTTAATTTGCATTTTATTGGAGACTTTGCAGAGCATATATTGGTAATTTTACCTAATGGCAGGGATGGGTAAAAGAATTAATTTCTGTCAAATATTTAAGAGGCTGCCGATGTTAGCGTGTACAGTATAAATAAAGTACAATAGTTGTAACTTGTAAGTTGAGTAAACAGAGTTATCTCGAAATGTTGAAATAATTTCTGGAAAATTTTCTGCAAAACTCTCTCAACTCAAAAAAATTCCGGGAACTAGGTTCCCAGGTTCCGATACTTTTTCCACCACTGTCAAGGACATTCAAGAACTTTCAAGTTCTGTAGGAACCCCGAGTATAAAGCGTTTGCGCTCATTCCCCAGCGATCAAACTCAACAAAAGCCATGGCGGCCATGTTGGTTTCCAGACAAGAGTCTAATTAAAATTCTTTTGAATTCGAACACCAAAACGGCGACTGTTACGTCATGTGCAAACGCTCTACAGTATATTGCAACTGAGCTTAAATGGTTCATCTAATTGACCAAGAAAAAAGTACAAAAAAGATGACAATAATTCTAAGACTGTCTTAAATTATTTCCTTAGACTTCCGGTCAAACGAAAATGAGTGTTGGCAGTCGCAAATTATCAGAGAACATTTTAAGCTCTAGGTTAACAAAATAAAAGTTTGATGAGTGTTTTGCTAAACATTGACAAAATAAAGGTTTGATAAGTTTAAATACTGTACATGGTAGTGTTAGGAAAGCATTAAGAACAGCTAACCAAAGTAGCATGACTGCCAAATCTCATGCACTCTCATCCATTGTACTTACAGTCTTACGGGATTAAAAACAAATTTCCTACAGCAGGATATGTGATAATTTTCTTACCTGTGCATCTTGCAACTGTTCGGCTAACGTAGTCTTCGCTCTCTCAAGATTGTGACATTTCTCCTCCGCCTCATCGAGCTGTTGTACAAGAGTGTCTACCTCCTTCTCCGCCTTCGCTTTAGATGACTGCAAGTCGGCAACCTGTCGTTCATCGTCGCCCAGGCGAACATTCACTTCGCTCAAACTGTTTTCTAGCGTTTTCGCACGACGTTCAAGCTCTGACTTGGCTTTACTCGCTGCTTGAAGATCTTCTTCGAGTTCGGAATTCGTCTCTTCCAGTTTGGCTTTCGCCTTTTCAAGCTGCACTTTTGCCTGAAAGAGAAAATACATGGTGTTAGCAACAGTCAAGAATTCGCCGTTATACGCCGTTTTCACAATTTGTCGGAAAAATAGAACTATCCAAAGATCTATATATCTTTTTCCGAAGTAGCAATGTGTGACATTTCAATAACATCACATGAAGTCTTCAGTGCTCAACCAAATGGGTGATTGCAGCTATGGACGAAATTTTGATCTAGACAAGAAGAACGAAATCTAACAGCACACCTAGAAAGAGCATCTTAAAATGAGTAAAATTGCAAAGTTTGGTTGCGAAATGTTGTAAAATGAAGAAAATATAGCCCTGTGAAGTTCGCAAATTTTGTACATATTTGCATTACGCGCGGTAAAAATAACCACTTTCCGCTCAAAATTGGTTATTTTTCCAGCGCGTAATACAAACACATACAAACTTCACAGGGCTATATTTCCACATTTTACAACATTTCGCAACCAAACGTTGCAATTTTACTCATTAGATGCTCTTTTTGGGTGTGATGTTGGATTTCGTTCTTCTTGTGTAGATCAAAATTTCCTCCATAACTGGAATCACCCATTAAATTCGACACATGCGACGTTTGAAACAGGCTTTACCTTCTTAGTGCTCTCCAGTTGTCCGTTGAGTTCTTCAACGAGATGTGAATGTTTCTGACGAAGGTTAGACATGGCAGCTTCATGTGCGGTTGATTCTTCATTGATACTTTTCTTCAATGAATCTAATTCTTGTTCTCGCTTGGCTCGCATTTCTTGTGCTGCTGATGTTGTATCCATCGATTCTTCTAGTTCTGATTTGAGGTTGTCTAATTCCTAGGATAAACGAAACAGATGTAGTAAACAAGTTTAATCCTGAAGTAGTCACAGTAGTTAGTCTTGAAGGATTAAAAACAAATTTCCAACTGCAGCTTATATGAATGTTTTCGTTCCGAACTGTCCCGCTGTAACTTAGGTATCGAGTTACTGCAGTAGATTCATTTGGTATTCAATCATTTCAATAATCAGGTATTTAGTAATTTAGATATTCAATCACTGTAATTTTCAGAATAAGTGTACATAATTGTTTATTGTTTGCATGACAAAATTGGATAATTCTAAATGTCAACGTCGTATTCTCTCGCCAAAGCCCAGCCCTACCAGACTTTCAACAAAAATTTGGTGTTTTTGTTCGTATTTTCATTTAGTTCTTTTGCTTTAAGTTCCTCTAGGGCAATTTCATTTGTGTTTAAGTAACTTTCCGCCATTTGTTTGTTTTGGGAAAATCAGTAATTGTACTGCAGTACAATTAAGAGGCAATTTTTTTCAATGTAACGTATTTGTAATGAAAAACCTAAAATCAAAACCTTTTTGGCGTTCCTCTCAAAATTACTTTGTTTTAGCTTTATTCTCCAGTTTATAGAATTAAGCAAGGCGCACACACTGCGATTTTAGTCGGCCGATTCAGGTTTAGATGGATGTTTTCAGCAAAAACAATCAGTGATAGGATCTGTGGGCTCATCTACATCGCCAGATTTGCCAATATCATACCCCTAAACCTTAAATCGGCCGACTAAAATCGCAGTGTGTGCGCCTGGCTTAAGCTACCTTTTTAAATGCATCTTCCGGTTGAGAAACGTAAAATAATAGTTAAAAATTGTCAATTAAAATACAATTATCAATGTTGCTTTAAAATTGACGCCATATTTACAGCCATATAAGCAAAACTTACTGAACTTCAGACATCATTTTCTCTTTGGCGTATCATCTAAAATCTCTTCATTTTATTATTATTTTACAGATAAAACACTAAACATACTTTTTAAGTTTGTTTGCCGATTGAGAAACGTATCGAAAAATAAAAATTTTGAATTTAGTCATAACCTCAGGTGATATATTATACGCATTAGTTTTGAGCGTGTGTTACGTAACATACCAAAAAATCACCTCTTAATGAAATAACTGTACTCCTCTTACCCAATCAGCATCCAGTAATTTTGTCATGCTAATAATAAGCTATCGAACATGAAAAAATGTCTGAAAATTTCTGTAAAAATGTAGATCCAAAAACATTTCTGGGAACTAGGTTCCCAGGTTGCGATACGTTTCCCCCTTCTGCAGTAATGTTAGGCAAACTTCACTCGAGCTCTAGGAAAAACAGTTAAGAACTGATCGAAGCTAGAACAAACCTCGCTGATATCTTTCTTCTGTTTCTCAGCCTTGGAACGAGACGCTTTCTCTGCATCGAAGTCTTCAGTGAGTTCTTCAACTTTGTTTTCTAATTCTCGTATATTTCTTTCGAGTTCTAGACGTTTGTTTGTCTCGGCATCAACCCTGCAAGCAGATCACAATGCAACGTACATTACACGGTCAATAGGGGTTAAATTACAAATCTGTTCACAAGCTGTTGACAAGTTGTGTTCGCACTGCTTGTTCCCAGTTGTTGTAACAAGTTTGGAACAAGCTGTTAACAACTTTTAACAACAAGCTTTATTCCATTATCAGACTTGTTACAAAATTGTTCTAACAAGTCTGATACAATAATGCTACAAGGTTGACGACACAAGGTTGTAACAATATTGTTATATCATGACTGTAACAGACTTAATGGAACAACTTTGCAACAAGTCTGAAGTTGTTCCATACTTGTTGACAACTTGAGTCTTGAGATAAGCAGCGCGAAAACAACTTCTTGACGGCTTGTTGGCAGACTTGCCACAGTATGTGAGATTTTTGCGTGTGTACAGGGGCACCAGGTACTTGGGAGAGGGGGGGGGACTGAGGAGGGCGGTGAAAGGCTTTGAACAGCGCTAGAAAAAGTGCGACAGCGCCAGCAGCACCGCTGTCAAGAAATTTTTAAAGATGCTGTAAAGTCCGTTCTGCGCATATATTCTGCGCATCAACACATTCCATCAGTGGGGGAGCAACCTTTGGAATGTTATTAATATTTCGCACCTTCCGAACTTTCTTGAATTGAATCTCTAGTCTGTATTCATTTACAAGCATAGCGAACCAGAAGAGTGTTTACAACTGTACCACTGAGTTCAAAATGTAAACAAAGCTTTTGTTTACATTACGGACTTTACATACATCACCTCTTTAACAAAATATCGTCGCAGGAAATTTTCTTATTTTATGAAGAAATCCTTTTCCTATCGGGGAGCTTCGGCATGGTACAAACTGCCAAAAGATGTTGTCTACAAGCAACTCTCCACAAGATGTTTTAATATCTTGATTAATAATTACTTTAATGACGTGGAAAGTTGACAACAAAATTTTACTGTGCGATTCTCACCTGGAATTACTTTCATTCACATCTTGCTCTCTCTTTGTAAGCATACCCTCCAGCTCCTCAATCTTAATGAACAATAATATATATACCCGTAAACATTATTGAAACATTACACATTTCCGACTCCGTATATCAACTTACAGTCTTAAGCCTGGTTTCCATATGGTCGTAACGGTCGTAAAGATTGAGTCACGATCTTTAACATTTTAGAACTGAAAATACGCGGAGTGATTATAACTAGAGAATACTTATGATTTATGTTGTTTACTGGCCGTTGAGGAAGATCGTGGCTTTAGATAGAAGGCTGGTTGGTCGTGTTAACGAGGCCAAAAGTGGGAAAAAACACGGTAAAATAAAGCGAACACGGTAAAATAAAGCGAACGCGGCTTGTTATTTATAGAAAGCCGTGTACGTTCATAAAATCGCGTGTTGCTACTTACAAGACTGAATTCGCCCCAATTTCTGTCGCAAGTAAAGTGATCCGTGGTGTGTGCATGTTTCGATTGATACAGGTAATGAGAACCGTATCGATGTGAAAATATTTCATTGAAATGTCGGTATGAATTTGATTGTATTTGGTTGTAAAGCGTGGAACAACCGTACGCATAGTCTATTGTTGGCGAGCATACAGAAGCGTTATCTGGGTAATTGGCGCGTACATGCTCTCAAAATTTAGGAACACTTCCAAAATCTAAAGTGAGAACAAACGTGAGCCCGGCTTACCCTTTGTTTCGCTTCAAGAAGTTGTTCTTGTAATTCTGCGATCTCAGCAAGTAATTTCCTTTTCTCCTTATCCAATTCTTGACGTGCCTTCTCCTCGCTACGAAGTCTGTCTTCAAGATCAGTGATCGCTGCTTCGTGTTTCGCTTTCATTTTTCCCAATCCCTTGCTCTTGTCCTCTTCATCTTGCAATGAAGTCAAAGTTTCAGCCAACTTTTCTTCGAGTTGCTTCCTTTCTTTACCGAGCTAAATAATATGCATTACATGCTAAATTACGGTAATATAATAATAACAACATTAACACATTATTTATTTATTTAGCTTTTGCCAACTAGGGCAGGGTCACCACAACAGCATATGCCAATAGACAACTTGCATGTTAGACAAATTTTTGATCTAGCCGATCTAGGCACAAAAAAAGTAAATTCCCGTTAAGAACTTATTAAAATTAGTAAAATCGCAAAATTTGGTTGCGAAATGTTGTAAAGCTTAGAAAATATAGCCTTGCAAAATTTGCATGTTTTCAGTATATTTGTATTACGTGCGGAAATTGTTACCATTTTTGAGCCGAAAATGGTAACAATTTCCGCTCGTAATACAAATATACTGAAAATTTGCAAACTTTGCAAGGCTATATTTTCTAAGCTTTACAACATTTCGCAACCAAATTTTGCACTTTTACTATTTTCAGTATGTTCTTTTCAGCTGTGGTGTTTGATTCCCTTTTCTCTGCTTAGATTAAAATTTAGTCTAACATGCAAGTTGTCCATTAATGTGGGCCCTTTTACTTAACCCACCCTGTCAACTTTCCCTGTGGGAGAAAACACGAGTACCCAGAGAAAATCCACGACTTTCGCCAGAGCGTTGACTTTTTACTCTTTTCACAAGAGGACTGGGTTCGAGTCGCATTGAGAAGTTCTCACTGAGATTTGAACCAGCAACCTTAGAGGTGAAAGGTACTGTAAGTGCGCTAACCACTTCCCCACCGCCCCAAATTATCGCACCTAGGATATTAAAGTCTTACTGTATATATACTGTACATAAGCCTGGTTCACATATATGCCTGCGACGTACCGGCGACGATGACGGTGGTAGCTTAAAAACGTAAATTATGTGAATATTTGTTCGCCGATTGCCTCCAGTGCCACAGTTACATCGGCAGTAGGCCGGGAAAGTTGACTTGAGTTCAACTTTGCCGGTATTTCGGCGGCAAGTAGAGGCATAATGATACAGTCGCAGGCATACCGCAGGCATATGTGAACCAGGCTATACATACAGTATAAAAAATAATAAGCAGACTAAAATTCATTATTTACAAGCAGTATTACCATTACTATTAAATTCACATGCAAGCTATTGTTTTGAAACTTTCGAACACATAGTTGGAATAAAACTATTCTTATAGCGAGCTGTCGGACATTTAGGTACACTATAGTCCATGTTATTCCGTGGGCAACGGACTATAATCTAGAATGTATCCCTTCTGTAGGGTAACAGATAAAAAAAAACACCCGTAGAGTAAGTCGGGCAGGTACCACTGACCTTGGAATTTGCATCTTCTAGTGCCAATAAATCTTCTTCGTATTTCTTCGCTTTAGCCTCACATTGCACTTTCTCTAGCTGTAGTTTCTGGCGGGTGGCTTCTTCCTCATCAAGTCTACAAAAACACATCGAGATTTTTGTAACAATCGAACATCTATACTAACTTTGTTTATACTGTATAGTTTTAACAGTCCTAAACTGTTCTCCCTAGAAATCCCGTAAGGCTGTAAGGGTCATCCCATATTGCTCCAGTGTTACTACAGGAGAAAACCTAAACTAACTTTATTAATGCTGTACAGTTCTATCAATGCTAAACTGTTCTCCCTCGAAGTCCAGTAAGGGTAATCCCATATAGATTCAGTATTGCCACAGGAGGAAAACTAAACTGAACTATCTTTAATTATACTGGATAGCTCTATCAGTTCGAAATTTCTCTTCCCGGAGATCCAGTAAGAGGCATCCCTTATTGGTAAAGTATTATTACCGAAGGAAACCTAAACTAAACTAACTTTATTTACACTGGATAACTTTATATCAGTTCTAAACTGTTCTTCCTAGAGGTCCAGTAAGAGCTACATATTACACTTAGTTAATATTACCAAACAAACTTACTGTTCCTCGAGGTCCAGGATACTCTGTTGAAGATTTCGTTTTTCATCGGTAAGTTTCAAGCCCTTATCTTCCTCCTCTTCAACTTTTGCTTCGAGATCTTCCAAAAGCAGCTCAAGCTCGTTCTTTTTCGTGGAGAGACGTTGTCTCATCTCATCTGCTTCGACGTACGCCTCCTGTGCTTGCTCCAGTTTCTCCGACAACACTTGTTTCTCTTCGCTTATCTGTGCGTGCGTTTGTTCAAGTTCTTTGTACTGTGTCTCAAGTTTATCCAATGTGTCCGAGACTTTCTTGAGTTCGTCTTGATGCTGATGTAGTTCTTCTTCTTGACGTGTTACATCTAGCAAAGGTTTCACCTGGAAATATCACAGCTACTTTAGTCAAAGGTCAAGAACGTACGAGGGAACCAGGTAGAGTGAAAAAATTAGTGATGCACCGATATCCATATATCGGTGTATCGGCTTATCGGTACAAAAATAGAAATATCGGTATCGGTAATTTTGTTGTTGATATTACCGATATTAGAAACCGTTATTAAATATTAATGATTGGTTAAAGTTGCAGTTCAATAGTATATCTTATTGGATTCTTCTCAGCCCAATATGGCAAAATATTAAGTCGAGACTTCAATATTGGGCTAGACCGAAGGTCGAGCCTAATATTGAAGTCGAGACTTAATATTTTGCCATATTCGGCGGAGATGAATCCAATAGGAGGAGTTTTATTATATCGAACAAAACAATTCTATAACAAAAATTGTCAATAAGCGATAAAGTAAATACAACGAGACTAATACAGTGACAACATTACTACATATATCGGCGGCGAATTTGCTTAACTAAAAAAAAGTTAATAAACCTGTTTTTACAAATATATGTGTGCATAAATAATTCCATGTATGTTTATGGGAAATTCGACCTAATTTTAACGAAAAAATAATATTACTAACTTCTAGGCTGTTGCAAACAAATAAATTTCGCGAAGACAAGTTTTCCCGCGCTTTTATAATTTTAAACAAAACTGGTAGAAAAAAACTGTATTAATGTCCCAAATTCTTTTCATTATTCTGCCATATCGTTTTTCGTGTGTTTGAAATTGACAAAACATCTGAAAAGGGTTGAAAAACCATGAAAAAAGCCACAATTCGCAACTGTCCAATAGGTTCCTGTCCAATATCGTAAAATATTGGATCGGCACGTGACCTTCTCAACGATTACTGATTGGTTAAGTGCGCGTGTAATATAATTCATTTTAATATATTTATTTATTCATTGGATAAATTTTGTTGGATCATTAATTTTGGATAAATTTGTCAGATACTTATGAAATAAGGGAACATACAATCAAAGATATATTGTAATACGATGACAGGATCGATGCCGTAATAAAATGAACCTCAATTGATGACAGCAACATTTCTATGAATGTTGAGCACAAAGGAAGATTTCTATTCTGCCCTAAGACTATAAATTCATTCGGAATTGGAGTAATTGACGTTGCCAGAATGCGAAACTATAGCATATTTATGATTGTGCAGGATGCATTATCATGCAGGATCCTACTGTCTATAAAAAGAATTAATATGACGTCTTTTCAGTCTTTGTAAAATTAGTCGAGGACCTGTATATGAGTTTGTATGCATTTCATTTAGGACAGATAATCTCAACTGTTTTAGGGCAAGTTGACCATGACGGTCGACATGGTAACGCTGCCCGAACCCCAATCCGGGGCGAAACGTCCGAAACTGACCACACCCAAAAACGACGCTCTCGCCATAGTACTATCTACCAAACCATAAAAGCTTTGGCTATTCTGAGGTGCTTATATGGTTCAGAGATGGTGCTTTTAGGGGTGGTCATTGGTAAGTGTGAAATGCCTAGCACTGATATTTCACAAGAAAATGACCATGCAATACTCATAGTCAAACGTCAATTTGTGACTTACAAATTCAGATAAACAGCAGTGGACCTACATTACCTTTTTTCCTAAATCTTTTTTATAGAAACATAATTGGTACTTATGTATATTATCACTGCTTTGGTGTAAAATAGTTGACACTTTGTGACCGAAATAATAATTTGAAATTTACCTACGTACCTCCTGCAAATGGACGTATTTGACCAAATTCTCCACTTTACTCCGCTGTTTATCGCCGATCTCGTTGAAATCCTTCCAAATATGTACGGCAGCTCAAACATAATGGTGTCAAGCACATTTTAAGTAAGTTTTAACTTGGATTCAAGTAGATCATAGCTGTTTAACCATCGACAAGGTAAAACCTCAACTTTGTCCAAATTCGGTACCATTTTGTCATCTCATGTCGGTTGCCAACAATTCGCCCTTGTTACTCTTCCATCCAAGCCATTTCCACTGCACTAATAACAAATTTAACCCTTTGTAAGGGTAGGAAACTAAAAAATCTAAACAAAATATAAGAAATGCAGCATTTTATCACCCTGTAAAATGTTGCTCACGAGTCTTTCAAAACATTCTTACATTCCGTACAAAGTAACAGGGCGTGACAGGGGGTGTGGAGACTTTGAAGTTTTAAGCAAAGCAAAGGCACGCTGTAATAGCAGCTGCAGTGTATGGTAAGACCAACAATCAACATTTAATTTATGGTATGACATATTCATATAATATGTATTTATTTGTCGCTACAAGAAATAAAACAAACGTTTGTATGATTGTATTTAGTTTTTAGTCTATTTCACGCCTTCTATCTCCGTGAAATAATTCATCCCCCTGTCATGCCCCTGTTACTTTGTCACGCGAGATTTGTACGGAATGTTTTGAAAGACTCGTGAGCAACATTTTACAGGGTGATAAAATGCTGCATTTCTTATATTTTGTTTAGATTTTTTAGTTTCCTACCCTTACAAAGGGTTAAATTTGTTATCAGTGGAATGGAAATGTCTTGGATGGAAGAATAACAAGGCCGAATTGTTGACAACCGACATGGGATGACAAAATGGCGCCGAATTTGGACAAAGTTGAGGTTTTACCTTGTCGATGGTTAAACAGCTATGATCTACTTGAATCCAAGTTAAAACTTGTTTAAAATGTGCTTGATACCATTATATCTGAGCTGACGTACATATTTGGAAGGATTTCAACGACATCGGCGATAAACAGCGGAGTAAAGTGGAGAATTTGGCCAAATTACTATTTAGGTCACAAAGTATCAACTATTTTACACCAAAGCAGTGATAATATACATAAATAAGTACCAATTATGTTTCTGTAAAAAAGATTTAGGAAAAAAGGTAATGTAGGTCCACTGCTGTTTATCTGAATTTGTATTAAAGTCACAAATTGACGTTTGACTATGAGTATTGCATGCTCATTTTCTTGTGAAATATCATTGCTAGGCATTTCACACTTACCAATGACCAGCCCTAAAAGTACCATCTCTGAACCATGTAAGCACCTCAGAATAGCCAAAGCTTTTATGGTTTGGTAGATAGTGGTATGGCGAATGCGTCGTTTTTGGGTGTGGTCAGTTTCGGACGATTCGCCCTTGATTGGGGTTCGGGCAGCGTTACCATGTTGACCGTCATGGTCAACTTGCCCCAAAACAGTTGAGATTATCTGTCCTAAATGAAATGCATACAAACTCATATACAGGTCCTCGACTAATGTCCATTAAAGGCAAGTTCGACTAAAAAGTCTGAAATAGTTATAGACTTTTGAAGACCTAAACGGGAGAAGTACATTCACAAAAACAAGAAGTGCACTTTAATATAGGTCTGTGTATTATTTTCACTTGATTGTTCTCTTTAGGGAAAGTACCGAGTTACAGCTGAATTTCTTGACGTTTACGATCGCTACCTTGGATGTATTCAACTACAAATCGAAATTGATATTAATACCGAGTGAAATAGAAGTTTTAGAGTGCACATCAACAGATCAAAACCTACATGAACCATCCAAAAATATCTCCATTGGAATGTAAAATTATAGCTTAAAATGGTTAAATGCAGAAAATAGAAAATAAAGGACTAATGATGCAAAATATATAATCAGTAAATATGGAATTATACATGTCTATTTTGTCCTGGTTCCACTGTTATAAACTAAAATTCGATAATAATTTGTTCTGTTCTGCCTAGTTCTGAGTTTCTGCTTGATTTTCCATCCACTGACTAGAGTTTAGATAAGCTGCGCTTTTATACTAAATCTCCAGGGGATATGGTCCTTTGGCCATATGACTGAAAAGGTGAGCTGATTGAAATCCATTCAATCGGCGTCGAGATGGTGTACGTTTGAACTCTCGTATCAGCTCTCTATCTGCAAATGTATAAGGCGTTAACTTGTCGCACTTCTCAAGTCATGGTCTTCTCATCGTCTTCTCAAATTTACGAATGTTCATAACTTAGACTTATAAGACCATAACCATATAAACTATAAGTAAGCATTTTATGTGATGTAATATTGTATAATTACTTGACCACGCGAAATAAATCTTACAATAAGTGACTGCAAAGCCCTAAACATTCACACTTGTAAGTTACAAGTCTCTTTTTACCATGCACTTGAGTTATCCGAACAAATCTGACCACTTATTATGCTCGTTATCGAACTTTGACAGTTTTGGGTATAATTTATCTCCTCTATCATGAATAAAAAGAAATAAATACTTGCGCAAGTTCGAAATTATCCGTGTCTGAAAAAAGGCAAGACAAGCATGGAACCTACTTAAGACTTATCTGAAAACTGCCCGACCAAAAAACTATTGCGGGAGGGGGGGGGGATTGCTGCACCCCCTAGGACCCCCTTTCGTACGCCTATGAACTAAATTGATCATGAGTTGATAAAATAATTCAGTCAAATGCAATGTCATAAAACATTTATCAAAATATACATACATGCATCACTAATATACAGAAAAGTATGATCTTGTCTAAAAGTACACACGAGTGACCACGAATGAGCACAAGTTACCACGAGTGACTACGAGTGACCACGAATGACCACGAATGATTTCTGTGTTTAAAAACCATAAAATAATAATAAAAACTATCTTAAGGTGGCTCCCTACGATCAGGGGCAAAAATTAAAATTATTGAGACAACCGCATAAATTCCCCCCTTACCCCCCAATTCAATGTTGTGCGAATGACTGAAAAGAGAAAATTCAACCGACGTAACGTACTTTAAAATGCCCAAAAACGTGAAAAAGTCTCATTATTTTTGCACGCGATTGTAGAGTTTTTTTGCATTATACTACACTATTGTATCCAGAAAACTCTTATTTCTGCACTTTATAATGACATGAAAACGACGTTTATTGGACACATTGACAATGCTCTCTTGAACATTGTAATGTGCTACTTTTGTACTGAAAGTCCGTTACCATGGCAACCGCGTGCTTAGGATAAGGCTCAAAATTTGTCTTTTTCCGGCCATTTTAAAAATCCATTCGTTTTTCGACTATTGTACACGTCAAGGCCCTGTCACACTATTGCGTATCGTACTAACATATGCCAGCGTATGAAAAATATCACTCATACGCCGGTATACGCTGACATACGCTATAGGGGTACGTTAGACATAGGTTGTATACGTTTCAAGCAAGGTCGCATACGGTGGCATACGCTGGCATACGGCGAAGCAAAAAAATATTTTTGAGCATGTTTAAAAATTTTGTGCGTATTCGGACGTATGCTTTATACGATAAGCATACTCTAGGCACACGCTGAATACGCTAGAGGTACGCCAGATGTACGGTGATCATACGCTGGCATTTCAAAGGATTTTTGTGCGTATGAAAATTATTTCATTAATTTTCATACGCTTCTCATACGTTTCTCTCATACGCAATAGTGTGACAGGGCCTTCAGATGTGATAACTGTACACGTCACATCTCGCAAAAAATGACAAAAATTATACCTAAACTGCTCCCTTTTCCTTCGGTAAAATTTTTTAAAACTTTGCACATTTCTTAACATCGGCTTAACAAGTTCAATATTATTTTTTACTAAAGGGAAATTTTTCAATATTGATTTGTGACGTTTTCGTAATTTTCTAGAAAACGTTTGATAGAATTTTTTTAAATTCAAGAAAAAATTATTATACGAAAATTATTTTTATGCAAAGTTTTAAAAAAATTTACCGAAGGGAATTTTTAAAATGGCCGGAAAAAGACAAATTTTGAGCTTAATTATCCTAAGCACGCTGTTGCCATGGTAACGGACTTTCAGCGCAAAAGTAGCAAATTGCAATGTAGGGAGCCACCTTAAAATAGTTTTTATTATTATTTTATTGGTGTTTAAACACAGAAATCACTCGAGGCCATTCGTGGTCATTCGTGGTCACTCGTGGTCACTCGTGTGTACTTTTGGACAAGACCATATACTGTCTATAAAAGTATGGCACTTAGTCATTTTCGACCCGAAACAAAGGTATATATTTTAACACCTGATTCACTTTTTGACTGAAATTTCTTTATTTATCTTGTGCAAGGTTGCTGATCTGTGTAATTGGGGCATCAGGGGGTGTGGGCAAATTGTTTAGCGACGGGATATCTCAAAGTATTTAATTTTAACTGTTTGAATATGTTAAGTATGTTATGACATAAAGTTTGCCTTTCAGTTCCTTGAAATATATTCGAAATTTACTTGTACATCTAACCGTATCAATTTAACAAATAGATTACATTCGACCATTGTCTGTTCAGTTATATAGATACACAAGCCGCCTAAGCGAGTGGTCACTTTTTGTTCTTACCACATATGACGTCCATACTGTGTATCTATAACTGAACAGAAAACGGGAAAATGTAATCTATTTGTTGTATATAATAAAATTTAAAAAATTCCCGAATTAAACAGGTAAACAGACTATAAACAGTTTATTTTTATCCCCCCAAACATTTGGAAGGCGAAATTTTGCAAATATCACGCGTTCATGATCTATACAAATAACGAAATACTATTGGCTCGCTTAAGTCACGTGAATTCTGATTGACTAAGCTTAGAAGCGCTAGACGGTAATACATAAGGAAAAACTAAAATTTTATCAAAACAGTGAAAAAACATTGTTTTAAAGAAATAAAAACGTGTGATAAAAAGGCAATTATTTTGTTCTGAGCGACTGTGCATGGTGATTAATTGAAAAGCACTTAAACATTGCCTATGTTGCACAAAGTGAAGAAACCAGCTGGAAAACGTGATATCAACAGGGTCAAATGACCGCTCGAATAGTATTTGTTTTCGAAGACCGGATTGAATTTCAAGTCGCAGCTGAATGACTAGCTGAATGACTGAATGACTGAATTGAGATTTGCCGAGTTGCTAGCATTTGTGAGTGATTTTTGCACATTTATCGAAGGTATTTATTGATGTTTATACTGATTTAATTGCATTAATTCATTTAATTGTATAAATTCAGTGGAATTTTCAAATATTTTCGACATTTTAAAAACTAACGACGTAATTCCGTGCGTCTGTCCTCTAATAGATCATGGTTCTCGACCAATGAAATCGCATGAATTCTTGAGGTTATTATATAAAAAAACAATGCGTTAGTTATTAACTTTTAATTATTAACTTTCAAAGATTATTTGCATCAGTCATTGCGCAGAAGTACGTTTTGTAAATACAGGCTAATTGTATATGCAGTGGATCATTTATTAAATCTTACGTTAAAACCTTCAGTATAATGATGCCCGAAAGAGTCTTTATTACCCAGTGGATTATTATATTATTAAAGAGATTTCCGGCCGTAGAAATAAAAGCAGACAGTGTATATATGATGTAAGTTTCTTTATTCTCTATTTGTAATACTATGAACTTTTATGAAGCAAACTCATAAATATTTATATAACATGTAGAATATGCCATGCTTTAGAGCTTTAATAAGGATTTATACACCGTTTCTCCAAATATCCTCGCGCAATTTTTGTCTTTAAATTTAGACAATCATGGAAATAATATCCGTAGAACTTTTTAAAACGCATCTTGTCTTACCATTTTTAAAGCCATTTTATTTTTGTCAATATAAACATCCATAATCGCTACAAATAGTAACTCCCGCCCCTCCTCCCCCTAGTACAATGTTGATTCAAACCATGATTATTGGACCACAAACCAACATTGTAAACGGGGAGGGGGAAATCGAAATTCGGGAAATTTTTGAAAAGTCTACGAATTAATTTCCATGATTGTAGTATAGCTAATTTACTCATGCTTTTAAAGCGGCATGTAGTAAAACACTGACTACCGGAACACCGGAACACCTCCGGAACACCGCCGGAACACCGCCGGAACACCACCGGAACACCACCTAACCCTAACCCCAACCCTAACCCCCAATCCTAACCCTAACCCCAACCCTAACCCCCAATCCTAACCCTAACCCCAAACCCTAACCCCAAACAAAATGGTGGTGTTCCGGTGTTCCGGTGGTGTTCCGGTGTTCCGGTAGTCAGTGTTTTACTACATGCCTTTTAAAGCATCGTCTTTTTCATTGTCTGTAGTTTTTGTTGCACGTGTTTCTTCCTCTTCATCTGCAATATCAATAGCAACAGACTCTGTGCTAGCATCTACACATGCAACGTCATGCGATTTAGCCGCGTCATCTAATGATTGAAGTTCGTCATGTGAATAACGTTCAATAATTACTAATGCAGTACAGTTCGCCCAAACATTCACAGGAGTGACAATGCGATCTCTGGATAAATAAAATACGAAACAACGGTGAGTAACTTGCATTGCAATAACATTTTTTGAAAATATGACAGCATGTGCACCAGTGAACTATACGCAAACCTCTCCTCAGGGGAGTGGAATTGAAGCCATTGCATTTTAGGGGGGTTAGCCCCCTATTTTGGGGGGTTTATAGCCTCCCTAGGCCCACCCGTTTCGTCGCCTATGCTAGAAATACATGCATGTAACAATTCCACGCCCATATTTTCCAAACATTGTTTCAACATGAACAATTCCTAATTACGCCAACATTGCACGCATGGGCTCACGTTGCTCGCAGTTAGCCTTCGCAACATGATTATTGTTTTTCTAATTTTTTTTGTACAATTAATTAAAACGGCAAAAATAAAAGTATATTTTACACTTTTAAGTATACGACTACCGACTAAAATATATAAAATAGGTATGTTGTTGAGATCATGCAGTAAGATGACCACCCATGCATGCATGTAGCCATGCGCTCGCGATTATTGATAAACTTTAGGCTTCGTGGATGGTTGTCCAATACAGCAGCATTTCACGACTCGTTACAACTTGTAAGGAATATTTCACGAGTCGTGAAGGACTTAAGAGTGCACCCAGCCAAGTGGTGAACTTCACGAAATTCGTACGACTCGTTAAATCCGTGAAATTTCACGACTCGTTACAACTTGTAATGAATGTTTCACAAGTCGTGAAGGACTTAAGAGTGCATCAGCCAAGTGGTGAACTTCACGAAATTCGTACGACTCGTTAAATCCGTGAAATTTCACGACTCGTTACAACCTGTAATGAATGTTTCACGAGTCGTGAAGGACTTAAGAGTGCACCCAGCCAAGTGGTGAACTTCACGAAATTCGTACGACTCGTTAAATCCGTGAAATTTCACGACTCGTGACAACTTGTAAGGAATGTTTCACGAGTGGTGAAGGACTTAAGAGTGCGCCCAGCCAAGTGGTGAACCTGACGAAATTCGTACGACTCGTTAAATCCGTGAAATTTCACGACTCGTTACAACTTGTAATGAATGTTTCACGAGTGGTGAAGGACTTAAGAGTGCACCCAGCCAAGTGGTGAACCTGACGAAATTCGTACGACTCGTTAAATCCGTGAAATTTCACGACTCGTTACAACTTGTAATGAATGTTTCACGAGTGGTGAAGGACTTAAGAGTGCACCAGCCAAGTGGTGAACTTCACGAAATTCGTACGACTCGTTAAATCCGTGAAATTTCACGACTCGTGACAACTTGTGAGGAATATTTCACGAGTCGTGAAGGACTTAAGAGTGCACCAGCCAAGTGGTGAACCTCACGAAATTCGTACGACTCGTTAAATCCGTGAAATTTCACGACTCGTGACAACTTGTGAGGAATATTTCACGAGTCGTGGAGGACTTAAGAGTGCAGGAGCCAAGTGGTGAACTTCACGAAATTCGTACGACTCGTTAAATCCGTGAAATTTCACGACTCGTGACAACTTGTGAGGAACATTTCACGAGTCGTGGAGGACTTAAGAGTGCACCAGCCAAGTGGTGAACCTCACGAAATTCGTACGACTCGTTAAATCCGTGAAATTTCACGACTCGTTACAACTTGTAATGAATGTTTCACAAGTCGTGAAGGACTTAAGAGTGTACCAGCCAAGTGGTGAACTTCACGAAATTCGTACGACTCGTTAAATCTGTGAAATTTCACGACTCGTGACAACTTGTAAAGAATGTTTCACGAGTCGTGGACGACTTAAGAGTGCGCCAGCCAAGTGGCAACACAATACAACAAATAGTTGTTGGAAATCTTGTATATGATCGTAAAAAGTGAGTATATACGGCAAGCACGGTGTAACCGAGTATAATGTTGACGCGAAAGTAAATGAAAAAATGACAACATACAGGAAGGGCATACAAAGGAAGCGGCGAAATTTAAGACACCAAGTGATGATGGCACAAAGCAATACGATGCGGTAAATAATTTGCAAGATAAGTTGGAAAACATGATAAAAAAAGTCAAAAAGGAAGAGCAATCAAATAAGTTGGATATTTCGGATCAATTTGGAAAGCACTTTAAGTCATTAATTAAAATACGCTCGATTCAAGCTAAGATGAAGGCATATATTTTCTGATAAAAATTTCGTATTTGTGGTATATTAAATTACAATTCCCAATGACCAATGTTAATATGATAGGTTAGTGGTAAAAACCTATTGTTTATACTGCTTGGAAGATAATATATGTGATAATATAATACGGAATAGGAAGTTGTTTAAAAGAAAGCAACAGAAACGCACTAAGGTGACTAAGCCTTTGCTTTGTGTTTCATTGTATTAATATTTGTTACCGTTCCGGATTTGAGTGTTAAATTGGTTTTATATTTTTTAAAAAGCATATACTTTACAATTGATTTTATTAATTGATTAATGCAGGATTTCGCAATATTTTATGACAATCCTGCAGCGAAGACGATACGTATATAGGCATATCCGTTTTCTCGTTGTAAGCGGATCACTGTAACACTGATGTGTGCATGCATATAGCCATAAACCAAATTCCTGGCTTATCGCGTTTTTTACACTATACATGTTGGTTGCATGCATGCTAATATTCTTAACATTTTAAGCTAACATAATCAGTAAATGGCCCATTATTTAATGAAGGACGTCGGTGAAGGTTTATATCGTTTATTTAGGATTTTCTCACCATGAAAGTGTTCAACCGATATATAAGGGAGCACTCGTTAAATATAAAGATATACATGCAAGCTTCAGTGAAGCTAGCAAGTAGCAATGCCAAACTGTATACGCGCAATCGCTCAATGCCAAAGTATACTTTCATACTGGGTTCATTGAAGAATGAGGCATGATGAGAATATATATATATTGTATCATGATGCATGAATATTCTATACAACCGTATAGAATATTCACTGATATGGCTTATTTAGGATTTTATCACCATACAAGATATATAAGGGAGCACTCGTTAAATGATAAAGACATACATGCAAGCTTCAGTGAAGCTAGCAATGGCAAACTCATGTATACGCGCAATCGCTCAATGCCAAAGTATACTTGCAGAGTGGTTTTTGAAGAACGAGGCATGATCAGAATATATATATATATATATATATATATATATATATATATATATATATATATATATATATATATATATATATATATATATATTGTATGATGCATGAATATTCTATACAACCGTATAGAATATTCACTGACATGGCTTATTTAGGATTTTATCACCAGACATGCAAGTGTTTAACCGATATATAAAGGAGCACTCGGGAAATATAAAGATATACAAGCTTCAGTGAAGCTAGAGTGAAGCTAGCAATGCCAAACGTACTGTATACGCGCAATCGCTCAATGCCAAAGTATACTCTTTATATAAAGATACCAAATTCAAGGAAGCAAAAAATGCCGAAGTATAAGTATACTTGTAGACTGCATTTTTGAAGAACAGGCATCAATATATATTACGGCAGGGATTATACAGGAAAGGTAAATTCAGAAGATATGATACCCGATACTATTTTTGCCTTTTTACGACTCGTCACGAAATTCGTGAACCACATCAGCACAACATCATATGAAGACTAGGCAGTGCAAACTTCATGTAAGCAAGTTCTTAAATTCAGAAGAGATGATACCCGGTACTATTTTTGCGTTTTTACGACTCGTGACGAAATTCGTGACGAGTGAGTACACCCAGTAAATCCAATAATAGGCTACCATTATACTGTTGTTCGCGCCATAATTGTATATACGTTTGACTATTGCGTGTGCATGATACCATTATTAAAATAGCTGTAAAATTAACTTACGTAAGCCAATCAATGGCAAATAGCAATCCTATATCTGCTGCTGGAATTCCAATGACTTGCAAAACAATCGCCTGTACAGCTATAGTTACAGATCCAGCGAAAGGTGGGGCAGCGAGTGTCGCTAGTGTTGTTGATAAACTAATAACAGATAATATAAATTATACATTTTCTGGCCAAGCCGGTGGAATTAGTTTTACTAAAAAGTTATAATTTATACAGTATTATAAACATCCTGACAGTATAATTCACACAATAATGGGGTAAAATTCAAAGTTTGTTCCTTGTTTTATGTCCCTCAGTTTGCTTTGTGATAAAATTGTTAATGAAATCCAGATGATTGGCAAACTAAAATATTGTTGTTTTTAATAACCAAGGTGTTTTAGAGTATAGTACATAAAATACCATTGTATTTTATTACATTTACCTAATAATGATCATTGAAGTCAAATTTAATAAACTAGGATGAAAAGTTTGGACAATAAACACGGCAGAAACAGCCATAGCCATTCCTGTGCCTGGAGCGTTCAATACTGTTCCAATAGGCAGCATAAATTGAGCTAGACGATTATCGACCACTTTGTTTTCTTTCAAGGAAGATAAAGTGAGAGGTATGACTGCACCACTGAAATATATTATAAGAACAATGTTAATTAATTTTATCGTATATAATGTGCCACTATATACCAGGGCGATAACAATTTTGATAGTCTTTGAAAAACTCACTCGTGCATGTTTTTTTTTCCAAATTGCACTCGAAATCATACATTACCTATACATCTGCTTAATTCACCTTTTCAAGAACTTTTAATCGGCATATACCATTTCATATAGTCAACTCGAAACAGCTTTCTTGTTTGTGGCAGATAAAGATTTAGTTGGTTAAAAAACTTGTTGACAGGTTTTCTTTGTTTTTGATATTTTATCCAACCACATTCAAGAACAATGACGTCAGAGTCAAGTTGTTCCTAGTTTGGTATCAAACTTCGTAACAATATTTTATGATGTTTGTTTTCATTAACTACGTACAACTGAAAATCTAAAATTCTTAGCCGTTTACAGCGTTAAACGCATGCATGTAAATCCTTCAAAAAAGACATGGAAATCAGTTTTTCAGGTTTGTCATGCATATGATAAAAATCCTATTGAATGGTCCGACATATAATCCTGAGTAGCATTTTACTCGTTTCTCGCAGTTTTCCTCGCCCGTTCAGGTCTCGGAAAAATACGTTCGAAACTCTTAAAATACTCGGCCAAACCATTCAATAAAATATAGCTATGTATTTTTTTCGCACAATTTTGAAAAGCAGATAGGGAGTTTAAGCTTTACGTTTCCAGGAACGGCAAACGGCAGGTTCGAACTTTCTTAGCAAAATTTTCGTTGAACGTTTTCGTTTCATATTTTCTTTCTTGTGTCGAAAGAAAAATTATGTATTTCAGTTTTAAAACAGCAATTTTATTTGCTCTTTATTGCCTTTAATCTTTAATCTTTAATAAAATTTCTTTTAACACGGTAGCCTATTCAGTATAATATATACAGTCTGTTTTTCAAAGGGCCGTGCTATATAGTATTAAACACACATTAACTATGGATATTTACAGTTAATTACAGCACATAATTATTACACACTCCATTAATTTCGGAAATGCATTATAAATTATTCATGTTCAAGCTTAAGGGTTAAACGTCGTTTGAAATCGGGTAAAGATAAATCCTGAATGTTATTAGTTACTTCATCCGATAATTCGTTCCACCCTTGTGCTGCTCTATAAGAGAAACTTCTTTTAAGAAAGTTAGTTCTTGGTTTGGGCAAAGATAGTTTAACATTATTGCTTCTTAGAGAATAATTACTATTTTCGCATCTCGTGAAGAAATTCTGCACATATAATTAGATATAGTCTGTTAGTTAAAGCTTTAAACGTCATAATGATTTCTCTTTTCTTTAAAATGTCTTCAATTGGCATCCAATTGAGACTTTCTAGTATTTGAGTGGAACGAACATCGTATGATTGTCCTGTAATAACACGAGCTGCTCTTCTTTGTAACTTAGAGAGTTTGTTAAGAATGGTATTAGATCCATTATTCCATATTGTTGAGCAATATGTCAGGTGAGGAGATACTAGAGCATTATACATTTTGATTAGAATGTGTAAAGGAACAAAGGACTTGGCTCTTCTTAGTAATGCAATATTTTTTGAGATTTTTTTACATTGTGCGTCAATGTGTATACCCCACTTTAATTGATCGTCGATGATAAAACCAAGAGATTTTTTGTTGGTGACCCGTTTAATATTATTATCTCGTATGGCTAATGAAATCTCTGGGTTGTCTTCAAATTTAGTAAGATGATGTCTAGAGCCAATTATCATAAATTCCGTTTTGCTATCGTTTAGCGTGAGTTTGTTACATCTAAGCCAACTATGAACATTCTCAAGATCTCTTTTAAGTTTTGTCTCAATTTCATTGGCATCTAAGCTGGCACACGAAAGATTTGTGTCATCAGCAAACAAGTTGCCTTGGTTGTTTCTAGACACTTAGGTAGATCGTTAATATACAAGAGCAATAGGATGGGGCCAAGGTTAGAACCTTGTTGTACCCCACACCTAATTTCTCTAGCATGTGATTTTTTCCCATTCATTAAACAAATCGATTTTCTATTTTGGATGTAAGATTCAAACCATGCGTAAGTATAGTTCCTTTTATGCCGTATAGGTGAAGTTTCTTTAATAAGATTTCATGGTCGACAGTGTCAAAAGCTTTTTTCAAGTCCAAGAACAGGACTCCATTGATTAAGCCACTGTCCATGTTATATAACCACTCATTTGTCGATACCGTAAAATTTTTCTTTGCCTGGCCTTTACCGTTTGACGTATAACGTATAACGCGAAGCTTAAACTCTCTAATACTCGTGAGTTTTTCAATTAATTGCTCGTTTGCAATCGAGGCTATTTTGGTTGATTTTTCAACCATCGAACCATAAATTTTTCATTCCTCATATCGTATAAAGCCAGATATCGTATAAACTATCCATGATACAGCAACATTTTTTTAAAAACCCCAGAAAATATTAAATTAACTGTACTATTTCGACGTAAACGACTAAAATAAATTTTAAAACACTTTCTCGCCCAGTCCCAAGCATCGTAGGTTGTTCATATGTTCATATCTTGAGTTTAGTGCATGCTATGAAGACAATAATTCCACCATTCGATCCAGTGAAACAATATCAACTAATTATTCCGCCTTACAATAGTTTTAGTCATTATCAACATAGTAGCGATTTATGGCCTCTGAAAGTCAAGCGAGATTTATATTATCAAATAACTCAATTGTCTGGATATGAAATGCACTCGTCTTTCGGACTAAACAATTTTGATCGCCTTTGAAAAAAATTATGTCGTCCTCGTTTTTACCAAATTGGACAAGAAACTATTCTATCACCTATACAGGGTATATAAAAAATTATTATATACACAAGGTCTGGATATGAGGTATTCTGCAATCTGATTGGTTCTCTACTAGCAGGATATTAGCTCATATCCTGCTAGTAGAGAAAAACAAAATGGCGGCCAAACTGAATTTACGATGTTTTGCAAACGAGAAAACGGCAAGTTGTCGCTTTTTATAGCCTTCACAGGATTAAAAACACAATGAAAAAACTCCCACAAATTGTTTTCAGGTTAGCAAATAAATTTTTAATGTTTAAAATGGTTGAAAATATATATTTTTGAAAAAATAATTGGCCGAAAGAGCGAAGATAAAAACATAAACAAAATAGAAAAATATTGAAAATATTCGAAAAGCAAAGTCTGTGAATTCAGACCTTGTGTATATAATAAAACAGTTATTCCACTCACTCTCGTCGAATATGACCGATAGCCGATTCGGCGCTACGCGCCTCATCGGCTATCAGCTTATATTCGACTCGAGTTCGTAGAATAACTGTTAAATAGTAGACAATTTTGAAACGGCCCTCAATTTCACAAGTCCGTTCATTTCATGAAATTTTTTATATAGATTGTTTAGGTATACTTATAATGTAGAATAAACCATAATTTTTTGTAAAAATAAATTTTCCAAACAGGGGGTGTCTTTTTTAGGAACGTTAAAAATAGCTTCCGCTGGAAATTTAAAAGTTTAAAACGCATTTTGAGTTCATGGCCGAGAAATTTGTTATATGTTAACGTTTTATCAATGGTCCAAATATCAGAAAATTTACACAATTCGAAATCCTTTAAATAGCTGCTGAAACTTTCATTTTTTGGCACCAATGGTTATCACGCATGGTCAATTCATGCATTTACCTAATTTGCATAATGTTATTGTAAATTAATTCATGATTGAGTCGATTTTCTTTGATGTACCGAGGTGATTATTAATCACTTTGAATATTAATTAGCTGAAAAGATATTAATTAGCTGAAAAATCGTCTTTCAAAGCAGACGAAAACAGACAAAACTTTGTTGGAAAACCTCAACCTCAACCATGAATTAAATATGATGAACACCTCAAAAGTCGGGATTTATGTCAGCTAATGCACTCAGACGCTGCGCGTCCTCGAACCATTATCTGACATAAATTCCTCCTTAATTCTCGGTGTTTATCCTATACGAAAGTAAAACAACGATATGCAAACTAGATAAAGGCATGAATTATGCATGCGTGATAGGCATAATTAGTCACAAAAAAAATATTTCAGCTGCTATTTGAATGACTTAAAATTGAGTAAATTTTCTGATATTTGGACCATTGATAAACACATATAACAAATTTCTCGTCCATTAACTCACAATGCGTTTTAAGCGTGGTTAAAATTTCGCACGCAAGCTATTTCTAATGCTGCTAAAAAAAGACACCCCGCCCCTGCTCTGTAAAATTTATCTTTACCAAACTTAATGTTTATTCTGTATTATACAAGTACCCTAACAATCTATACTTAACAAAAATTTCATGAAATGATTGGATTTGTGAAATTGAGAGCCTTTTCAAAATTGTCTATACTTCAGTTTTTATACACGCTGTATGCATGGCAGTATAATTATATGCCAATACCAGACAGTGTTAAATAGTCCCGACTAATATAAATTCTTTTCAATTTTTCTCATGGTCATGTAGAATTATTAAACGCATGTAGCAACATATATCTAATTGGCTCCTGTATATGAATGTATAAAAAGCTGAAAAACTATGCATGCAATGACAGCCTTTATTATAAAACTCACCTCGAACAGGCGCCAAAACTAGTAAGCATTGCTTTGGCCGTACAACTTAGAAGTCGAAGAGGATTTCGTCTCGACAAAATGACATATATGATCGTTACAATAACGGCTCCGTAAAGGATAGTTGCAATTATTACTGCTGTTACAAATAGCCCAAGATTTTCTGCTGTCCCTTTAATGTCTTGCATTGCTGCTAATTTGCTTGCAATTATACTGCCAACACCAATGGGCGAAAACCTATAAGAAATGGGTTCAGTCAATATTACCACTAATTATAGATTTTACAGGAAAAGTTCTCTGGATAAATACAATTACTTCTATTCAGCTTATAAATTTAGACTCAATTAAACTTTAATATTTCGGCAAGCCTTCAGAATTAATTGGAATTTAATAATATCTATATTCGCGCTGTTCTCTTCATTGTCATGAGGCATATCCGGAGAATATACCGACATTTCCATGCAACGACATGAATGACCTCTCCATAAAGGTATAGATGGACACCTACCATACAATCATCTGTACTATTTCCATGAGGATATTAAACAAACAAGTTAACCAGTCTGCTATCGGTTTTTCCTTCTTGCCAAGACCATTCAAAATGATTCCAAACAGTATTGAAAGAACAACAACACCCAAAAGGTTTCCTGAATTATATTTCTTCCGACCAACATATTCATAAATTACATTTTCTTCTTTAATAGTTTGTACAGAATCTGGTGATACACTCCATGGATTTATCATTTCTTTCTTTAAAAACGATGATAAGTTTCCAGCAGATGATTTAAGAAAAAGAGAGGATTTATTCACCAGTTTGAAATCTGTGACTTTCTTTTCTAAATTTGTAACTGTCTAAATAAAATTAATCGGATTGTATAATTTAAAACCATGAATTTAATTCAAGAATACAACTGTCTTCCAAAAGAAATCCAGTATGCTATATATTATATTTCACTAATGGAATAAGGGGTTTGTAGTAATAACTTTCTTTCTTGAGCAACGAGGCCACTTCCATAGAAATATTGGAACACTGACAATACATCATGCACCAACTAAGTGTTTGATAATTTAATTAATGAAGTAATTAAATTAATGGATAATGAAGCAGTACAAGAGAACCAATATACTATAAATATGCCATGACGATTGCGAATCTCGTAGTAGTCGTATTCGTATAGTCAATATTTCTTGTAATTCTATAGCTATTCAGTACTAAACTTTGGACAACTTTCCTGTGCCAACCTCGTCCCCGGGGCCTTCCTGTGCTTCAAAAAATGTGTAAGTAGAGTTTAGCCATGGTTGGCTATCCCTTTCCTGTGGTTTGAGGATTATTCTTCTTCATTAACGTCTTGTATCAGATTGAAAACGGAGTAATTGTAGGCTTTAACGTGACATGCGTAACATGCATGCATGTGTACCATCAACCGAAGATCATTAATATTTAGTTTAGTATTAACCAAGTTAACAAGTACTTATTGCTGCCGAGCCTCACAGCACCCTGTTCTTGACGTTACATGACGTTCTTGCTTTATCGTGTCCAGTCCCGACCGAGTTATGTATTGTCGACAACATTCCAATTTGCAGGGGGTCATTAAGTATTCAAGTTCTTTTGTAAAATGAGGGAGTTGTTCTACAAAATTGTCTTCAATTCGCCTTAAAGATGTGTGTTTGTGTGTGACTAGTAAAAGCGTTTCACCCACGATTTTCAGTACATAAAGTGATTATATCTGTAAGTTTGGTTAATATATTCAGTGACATTTATCGATGTGATGAACCGGTTTAATAATGTTGCCGAGATCGCGGGAAACATGCAGGGTTCATTTTACAGTAAATATCGAGATTTATATTTAATATTTTATAGTGATGTTTTAAATATATACCATGTCTTTTATCTCGATCTGCAATAAAGACTACTATGTCTATAACTACCTATACTTATGGCTACCTACTATGAATCTCTGGCTACTATGTATATATATAAAAGAATTTAATGTCGTTTGTCAGTGTAAGTCGAGTCCAAAAAATACACTATAATTTGTCTCAATGCAATATCTCTCAACTCTCTGGCTGCTATAAAAGACTACTAGCTATGTCTACCACATTAAATATCTGGCTAGAAGACTACAGACTATGTAATGACTAATGTATATATGAAATAATTTGAGAATTTAACTGTTTGTTCAAAGTCAAGTGTAATTTTGTCTTTATCTTTGACTATGTCTAAAAGACTGCCATTTAGCTATTGTCACACTATAACTTGTCTACAATATCTCTTAACTCTCTGGCTGCTATAAAGACTACTATGTCTACTATATTAAACGATTACACACTATATGTAATCATTCAGTCTTCATGTTTTGTCATCATGGGGGATTTTGTCTTCATGAGTGAAATTTTCCGCCTGAAAGTTTCCCAAGAACTATAGCTGCATTCTGAAATATGTTATGGTCCTTTTTAACCCATTTACTGACTGTACTCTACCCACTGACGAGTAAAATTGTCTGGCGTTTATAGACAGTAAATACTAAAGTAAGGCGCATAACCATTGCCAGCTAATGGCTTAATAAGAGACATTCGCAGATAGGTTTGTAGTAACCCGTTTATCCGGCAGTGCTAATTACCACCTAATTACCACCTTCGGGATGTCTCAAGTGGTCTTTATTTACCAAAACCACGTACAAATAGCATGAAAAATAGTTTTATGTACGACGGAGCAAACATTTGGAATTCTGTATCAAAAGAAATTAGGGAAAGCAAGTCACTTTCTTCCTTTCGAAATAAAATCGCTGCTCACATTAGCTTGGTAACCTTTGTAAATAAAACTTAACTGTAAATAGCTCAAAACATTTGTTATATCTTTTAAATTATATATTACTGCAATAGCTTAGCTCATCCTTATCATATTCTGCATGTAAAATAATTTTCTGGCACACGCCCCCCGTGAAAATCAGCTACGGTTGACGGGGTCAGCGTGGATAAATAAAGTTCTACTACTACTACTACTAGTGCTTTACCCACTGACGAGTAGAATTGTCTGGTGTTTATAACAGTAAATAGTAAAGTAGGGCGCATTGCAAGCTAATGGCTTAATAAGAGACATTGAGAGACAGGTCTGCTAACCCATTTACTCACAGCACTCTACCACTGACTAGTAAAATTGTTCTAGGAGAAATAAAATCCCCACAGCTACGATGTGATGAGTGCGACTTTTCTCATCGAAATATGGTTAATAATGATCAAGCTCGCCAGCATTCCGACGATAAAAAAGGCTCCATATTTTGTCCGTTTCTACGTAAGAAGGGCTATTGTTTGAAAGAATCCAGATGTGATTTTTCCCATGTCGAACCCTATTCGTATCCAACTGGAAATCATCCGGTAACAAATGATAACTTACAATGCCCCCAATTACATCCTTTTTAGGAAGTCACGACCTACAAAATATTCCGACTTTGATGCGCCAACTCGAAACAAGATTACAGAGTCTCGAGTATGCTCAAATACCTCACCCCCCTTACCACCGGTATTCAGTGTCTCAACCGCTGTTCCCTCCACCAAAATCAATGTGTCCACGACCACTAATGATGACCCCAGTTCATCCCCCTCAGTATTTACGTCGCCCACGCGACAAAATGAACGAGCAGTATCCCCCAAATTACCTTCTGCGCCCACGCGACATAACGAACAAGCAGTATCCCCCAAATTATCTTCCGAGGCCATGGTTACCCCAACCCTGGCCAACACACCTACCATTTCCACGTCGTATGTAGCTCGTGATAACAATTTCCTGCTCCCTACCCTGCTGGTGGCCAATGTCCGTTCTATAATTAATAAAATAGACGAACTAGAGTTGGTAGCTCAAATTAACCAAGTTGAGGTCATATGCATTACTGAATCTTGGCTTAACACCTCTGTTGTGGACTCAATGATTTCGTTATCGAACTTCATCCAATTCAGAAATGATCGCACATACTCCTGCGGTGGCGGCGTTTCCATTATATTAAAGAAGAAATTTACTGTAGGAGGCTCGAGCATTTCGAGGATTCAGCCATTGAATCCCTATGGTTACTACTTAGACCTAAGCGTTTACCAAGATCTATATCCGCTCTTCTACTTGCAGTCATTTACCACACCACCTCCTCCGGCGCCAACGAGAACTTTGAACTGTACAACCATATCCAGCGTAATGTTGAATCCTTCCTTTCTCTGCATCCTGATGGTCTCGTGTTTGTGACTGGGGATTTTAACCCTGTCAGTACATTATTTGATGAAAAACGGTTGGAAAGATTGTCCGGTTTAACTCAAATTATTAATGTCCCAACACGTCACAACGCCATATTGGATTGGTGTCTCACAAATGCCAAGAAAGTCGTTTTTGATGTAAGCCAGCTTCCTCCTATTGGCTCGAGCGACCATAATGCCATTTTAATAAAACCCCATAAAGATCGTCTGGAGAATTCGTGTAATAACCGAGTATGCAAAAGAGATTTAAGAGATAGCAGTATAAGACATTTTGGTCAGACTATTACATCTACCGATTGGACGGAGATATTCGAAATACCTGATCCTAACATGAAGTACCGGAGATTTAATGAGGTAGTTTCTGCAATGATGGATTGTTTTTTCCCCAATAAACCAACTAGTGTTAGGGAATCTGATAAACCATGGATGACGTCATCGCTTAAGTCCTCCATTAGTAAGCGACAAAAATCACTTCATAAGTACGGAAGAAATTCACAAGCATATAGATTTTGGCGCAATAGAGTTCAACGGGATGTTAAAGTGGCACGTAGAAAGTACTATGCCAATTCCGTGCAGAAGTTGAAAAGTGCAAACCCTTCCAGATGGTGGAAAGAGGTTAAATCCATAGGGGGCTTCTCTTCTCGGGAATCTTGGGTACATCAACTACTTTCTGAAGTAAACCCCACCTGTGAGGACCTTGCTGAGTCATATAACGGATATCTTGTTGGACTTACTTCGCATTTTAAACCCTTGTTAGAATGCACCGATGACCAGGAGACAGAAGTTCCCAACCATCTACTCGTAAATATAGGGCAAGTTTATACAGTGTTGCGACGTCTTAAAACGACGAAGTCTCCTGGCCCAGACGGTATCCCAAATAGGATCCTGAAAACCTTCGCTTTTGAATTTGCCCCTATCATAATGGACATATACAATACATCAGTGCTCCAGGGAGTCTTCCCTGATCAGCTAAAACGTTCTATCGTCTTTCCCATTCCAAAAGTGTCACCACCTCAGACTATTGAGGACGATCTAAGACCTATATCACTCACAGCTCAGGTATCTAAAGTGATGGAAGGATTTATGCTACAGTCCCTCATGTCGGAAGTGGGTCTTAAATTGGACCCAAAGCAATTTGTTCTTCCGGGAAAGTCAACCACTCAGGCACTCGTTTATCTCCTCCACTTGATTCATGCTGCTTTAGATCAAGGCCACTGCTCTGTAAGAATCTTTTTTGCTGATTTCAAAAAAGGTTTTGATCTCGTCGACCATAATGTCATTATTGATGAACTTTTAAAATTACAAGTGAGTCCTGCCATTATAAGATGGATAACGTCGTTCCTTACCTCCGCGAACAGTGTGTTAAAATCGGACCATCCTTTTCCTCATGGAAACCCGTTAACGGTGGCCTACCTCAAGGAACTAAACTTGGCCCTCTTCTCTTTGCCATTTTAGTCAATTCCCTCCTACAGGACTGGAATGGGCGGATAAAGTTTGTAGACGATGCTACTGCACTAGAAATTGTTCCACGTTGCTCTCCTAGCTTGCTACCTATTCTCGTAAATGATGTATCTCAGTATGCCTCAAGTAGAGGAATGAAGCTTAACAGTAAGAAATGTAAGGAGATGACAATATCCTTCCTCCAATACCATCTTCCACTTGATAATGCGATCTATATAGATGGTTCGCCGGTGCAATCAGTATCCTCCTTTAAACTGCTCGGTGTGCTACTGAGAGAGGATCTATCTTGGTGTGATCATGTCGACTATGTGATTAAAAAAGCAAATTCTAGACTCTATGCATTGCGGAAGTTAAAAAAGGCTGGCTTAAGCGATAAAGACCTTGTCACTATATATTCCTCCTTCATTCGGTCCCGAATTGAGTACGCTTCACCTGCGTGGTCAACGCTGACCCAAGGCCAGTGTGACCTTATCGAATCGATACAGAGAAGAGCATTACGTATCTTGCTTCCCGAAATGTCGTATCAAGACGCATTGAATTATACTGGTCTAAAAAAGTTAAGTACGCGTAGACATAATTCCTGTGAACAATTTATTCGGAAGTTGAAGCTTGACAATGGTCCTATAAATCCTCTTAAGGATGTTGTTGCAACTCGTATACATCCAAATACTCATAATTATAATCTTAGGTCCGAATCAAGCTGGTCACTCCAAACGAACACAGAACGGTTTCAAAATTTTATAACTGTCAAATATAATTATTAATGTATTATTGATTTAGTAGTACTTGTGTATATTAATTCAGGGACCCAATTATAATTTGTGGACAGATTTAAACTGACTATTCAAAACGAACATTGAACGGTTTGAACTCAATTTTATCTGTAAATTTAATTTTTAATGTATTTACTTATAATCATGTAATTCAGTAGAGACTGCAATGTGATTAATTAAACAGATTATTATTATTATTATTATTAACAGATGGATGGTGGATGGGTAAATCAGTCGTGTACGATCTATTACTCAGCGTAGCAACCCTGATTAGTATTAAAGTGCGACTGTGGCCAAATTTTCATTTCTGTTTTTTTCCCATGATTGTGAAGAATGCGTATAAAGAAGCTGCCACGCAAAATGTTAGCGTGATATCGCATATTTGGCCTGAGTTATACGACGATGAAGTTCGAATTTTGGCGACCGACCGACCGTCATTAAAATCCGCCATATTGGAAAGTTCAAGTGTTCGGGAGTCTGTGACGTCATAGTCTCAACACATGCTGGGCGTGCGACATAAAAATATATAAGCGACTATAGTAAAACTCGATATCATGCCTTCATCGCGTTGTGCTGTACAAGATTGCAGCAATACTTCTGACAAAAACGCGGGTAGCTAGATCATTGCATAAGAGCCCAAATGACGAATCTTTGAGAAGAATATCGGTTAGATTTGTGCGAACTAAGCACGCCAATTTTTATCCAAGCTCGCGGGAAATTCGATTCATGATTTGTTTGGACCATTTTTCAACGGGTTGTTTTGAGCGTTTATTTCATTTGGATGGTTTGCAACGACGACTAAAACCAGGTTCTGTGCCTACTATTTGGAGGAAAGCGCCTGAGCAACTAACAACAACAGACAAGCGTAAGGTTAGTCAAATATGAATATATTTTAGCTACACACATATTTATAACATAATCTGATAAGTCCAGATCAATTACAAATTCACGCGACAAGTGTTGTTCTCATATTGTTGCATGAAAATATGTTTAAATTTTAAACGAGTTGGGCGAAACTTCAAACAAGACTGATACAAACGAGGATGAACCATCGAGCTGTTTTTTCAAACTCCGTGTAACAGCTCGCTGATCAGTGTTCGGGAATGTTGATCATATTTTATTGTAACAACAACACGGTAATGTGAGATGCCTTAAACTGCCCGTAAAATCTCATACCAAACCACGAGTGTATGTAGAAAACTGCGCGTAAGAACCTATAGGCCGTATTCTGTGGCACGAAAAGTCGCTTAGAAAACGAATTCCGTTGCCCGGGTTCGGGCACTACTTTGAAACAAGATAAATAATTAGGATAAATTATACAAAGTCCAAATCCGCTTGTTTGCACTTCCCAACACCTGCAGTTTTCGAGTATTTCTTCTTCGAAAATTGAAGAAATCGACATGTTTCGCAATCGATCGCCGCCATTTTTGTTTAGGATACTTCGTGTAATAAACACTCTAAATGCCGATTTTCGCGGGCTCATGCTCATTCTTACATGAAGTTTCCAGCTTAGCATTTGTAAACATGGCGTCTTCTGATCATGTTTATCGTCGGTTTCAGTTCACTTTTCAAGACGCGGTTGAGAAGTTCGTTCCCAAGTTCCCAATTACGTTTCGAAGTTCGGAAGTTGGGCGGGAACTTCGAAACGAACTTCCGAACTTCGAAATGAACTTCCGAACTTCGATTTGAACTTCCAAACTTGATCGCGCCTAACATAGTAGGGACCTTAAGACGACAGCCAAAACAAACTTCTTCAAATAATATAAATTATTGCGAAGAAGAGTTGTTGTGTATTATCCACTGCATGTATATATGAATTGAGTTGAGTTTGAAGAGATTAAAACAAAGGCTTTATGGTTAAAAACGCTTCTGCTGAGCAAATTTGTAGTTTCACTTGTCGCGTCTTGACATGTTTGCGTTGTAAACAAGACGTCTCTAACTCCCGTGGGACTTTTAATTATTCATTTCTTTTGTACGAGATCAGGAATATCATTGTGTGAATAGCCGTCCTAAAAAGCTTCGCCGTCCCGTTTGCTTAAGGTCCCTATCATGTCGAATTCGTATACGACACAAGGGAAAGCTTTGCCTGACAAAGTCAGGCAGGAAATTATAGAGAAGTGGTTGAATAACGAAGGAATTGCCGAGATATCTCGGCAATTAGTTTTACCATACAAAAGTGTATCTAATATTGTAGATCTGTGGATAACCACTGGTTCAACTAAACCTCGATCTCCACAACGTGTTGGTATTAGAACTGCTCGAACTGATGATGTTATCAGGTACACTGAATGCACGAAGATTAATAAACCTTCAACATACGCAAAAGAGATTCGAAAACAGCTAAAAAAGATAACGTGTGCCTCCCAGAAAATGTTCCAAGCAATTCATGTATAAGTAGAATTTTAAAAAGTGACCTCGGATATTCATACAAAAAACTTAGTGTGATACCTCTTGAAACAGAAAGGGATGGCGTGATGGAAAAGTTACAGAATTACATAGCAGAAGTATCAGCAATTGACTTCAATCGTCTGCATTTCTTTGATGCGTCGTCCGTTGTTGTGACAAGTGGAAATCTGTCTCGAGGGCATAGTGCAGTTGGCAAGCCTGCATTCGAAGTTCAACGCTATGCCTCAAATGCTACTTATACGGTAAATTTGCTCCACAGCGTTAATGGAATATCACACTTTAACATTCTGAGGGGTCCGTCGAACGGCCTAGAACTGTTACAATTTTTTGAAGAAGCTCTTGAGCAAGTAGACGCACTTGAAAACCCAGTTGTTAAAATCAATGATGTAATCGTAATGGATAACTGTGGTTTTCATCACGGCAACGATGTTGAACCAAATTTGCGAGATATGCTACACGATGAGAGACGTGCGCATTTGATATATCAGCCACCCTACCATCCTTGTTTCAATACATGCAAACAATGTTTTCATTTCATGAAAACCGTACTGCGCAGATATACTACATACACCGAGAAGTATACTGAACTATGCATTAGTGATGCCTTACAGATGATAACAGCTGGACATTCACGGCAGTTCTTTAAATTTTGTGGCTATTTATGAAACATTTGTGTATAAATGCATTCACTATATTTTGGGATACTGTATAGGTGATAAAGCTTCAAAGTTGTCAATGACAATGTGTCGATATACTCTGCATTGATCATATATAAACAAGTGCACATAATTTTGCAATATTTTTAATATTAATGTAACATGCAAGTGCTACACATTTTATATTATCACACAGTAATTATACAGTATTTATACAGTAAATCAGAGTACATGTAAAACGTCAACACAACGATAAATTCTTTAGTCTGTTCTGATTTTAACAGGTCATGCACTAGTATTACACAAGCAACAAAAATAATCTACCTTGAGCATTCCTTATTCATCGTATGTACACAAAACTTTCCTAACGAGCATAAACGTACATTACTTTTTAGTGTTCATTGATTCCATGCCAACGGCCGAGGACAACAACTCGAGGCCTTGAAAATCACTATCCTTTAATTCATTTTGCGGCGGTTGATTCGATTCATGCCAGTCTGAAGTCAGTCGGTTCGGTTCAGCAGGCGGAATGACTTGAGACCGGTCTCAGTTATTTTCGTCCCGGTCTCATGTAAACATCTATTATAGATAATACTATGACCGAAACGAAATGGTCCTGGTTTGACTTCGTTCCGGTCTCATGTATCCCTACTATGTTAGGCGCGATCAAGTTTGGAAGTTCAAATCGAAGTTCGGAAGTTCATTTCGAAGTTCGGAAGTTCGTTTCGAAGTTCCCGCCCAACTTCCGAACTTCGAAACGTAATTGGGAACTTGGGAACGAACTTCGCAACCGCGTCTTGAAAAGTGAACTGAAATCGACGATAA